CGGTAGCTGTGGCGCATTGTACTCGGATTTCCACTCTTGGATGTTATTGATCCGTTAAATTTAGAACAATGTTGGTAAATATCGTATGACATTTCATTTTTATATTATATATATATATATACATTTTAACAGTAAACACTGGTAACTCGAAAATTTAAATTTGATAAGCTATTTCAGTCAGCCAGTAAATTCAAGTCCATCAAACTCTATTATCGTTAATATTTAGTCTCATCTGTTTGAGATTAAACATTATGCGCTCGACATGCACTGCCATTTTATACCATTATTTTTATATGTTAATAAATAATAATTTCAGGATAAAAAAAATTTAAAATGTGAGGAAATAAAATCACGAAATTATGTAACTAAGTCTTTCTTTTCAATAAAAAATGTTAAATATGAGGCAACAATCGGATTTCTAGATCAGAAAACCACCTTAAGCTTTATAACTTGTTTTTAATTGACCAATTCTTTAGCCGCGATTATAGTATTCTTTGTTTAAAAACTCCGAAACTAATGGAGTGATTAAGATATGACACAAATATGAATTTGAAATTTTTTATAAAATTTTTAACAAAAGCATGATATTAGTTTCTTTTTAAAAAGCGATAAATTATTGTTATTGCATTCTTCATCTACAAAAACAAAATTCGTACTCAATAAAAGTCATAGGCAAATAATTCAAATAATACCGATTGAATTTGTGTTCGATATTTTAAGTCAGAAGAATACTAATTAATGTAAGAGCTGTTTTGAAAAATATTTGCTCTATTGTTATAAATTCTTAAAAAACAACATATTTTTACTACGTTGCACATTACTATAATTTAAAAAAACGAGAAATACATTACCACTCTATTTTTGGTGCAGGGTTTCCGGCTACTTTGGTCTCCAATATAATTGGTTTTCCTACAATGGCATCAAGTGGATGTAGTTGTCCAACAAATGGTTTAGAACTTTTTTCTTTGACTAAAAGCACACAAAAAATAACAAATAACTAAACTGATTAGGGTAAAGAAAAGAAAATTGATTTGAATCAATAACACGTGATTTGATTCATTGCAGTTTTCTCACTATATTAAAAAGTCGTAAGCAACGCCGCTGTCTTTTTGGGTATTCGTTACATTTTCTTTAGGTTCACAAAAGACTTAAAAGCTTGAAATTACGAGCTGTGTAGAAATATGTATGGATGGTGTTTTCTACACTAGGGAACGTTGCAAGCTTGGTGCCGCCTAAATTTCCGGGTTACTGTTTCCGTTGTATTTTAAAGCCATTTGGCATCATTGTGTTTTGAGATTCTTGCAAACAATGCATTTGATTACTTAATACTTGTGTTTACAATGCTAACAATACTTGTGTTTACAATGCTAAAACTGTTAACACTAACGTAAGATGGTGCACAGCTTGCAACAAGAACAAACAGTAATAAACTAATGGAAAGAGGCCAAATCAAAACTGCCAAAAAAGCGAGTTATTCGAAATCTAGCAACCACGCCACCTTTTTTAACAATATATCTCTAAATGACTAAAACAAATTTTCACTTCAAATTCACCAGAATTACATATTAACATTAATATCTTATGAAATATGGCAGATTTGAGCTCAGAAATTATCTAATTTATTTCTTTTATTGAAAACAAAATTATCCGTTTGAAAATATCGCCTCGCAGAATAACATGTAGTAAGCAGCTGCAAACTTTCTAACCGGAACTAGAGCAGGTATACAGCTCGAGATTGTTATTGTTTACATTTCTACTGAAAACACCATCCATAAGGAATACGATAGACCCGATAATTAGTTCATGAATTATTAATTGTTAAACAAGTATTAAACAATATCATGCAGTCCGCAGGAATGGAACTACAGACTTGAAATTTAACGTGCTGAAAGGGTCATTTTTATTTATTTTACTTATAAATTTATAAAAAGTTTCTTTTTGTTTTTAAAATTCCAACTTATTTTAAAGTTATTGCAATTAAGTGCTTTTTCGAGGACCTTTTTACTACTAATACCAAGTTTTTATCCATTATTGTTTTAACTTTATTTATATGTTTCAAGATCTGTTGTTGTTTCTAATGCCACTTGCCAAGACTAGCAAGTCTACTTGGCGAAAAAAACGGATTTAAGGCAAATGGCACGTTTCTTGTTTTTCAGTGGCGCCATCTATGGCCAAAAATATTACTTCACTCACACACACATGTCACAATCCGTTGTAAAGGGGGAACACATTCATAAATCCATTCATTCATCCTCAGATCATAATTTTGACCTGAATCAGTGAACGATCAATCACCAATTCAGAAATTTCTCCAGAGGTATGATTTGTTGTAAGAACTTGAAGGACTTTACGACTCGACTGATTTAACGTGCACCAGTCTCTATCTGCTACACGGGATTTCGAGATATTCATTTTAAAAACTTCGTGACGTCAAAAATAACAACAGCAGAAAATAAATAAAAGAGAAAAAAAAACATAGATAAAGAGAAAAACCAAATGCTTAGAGACATAAATCAATTAACTTTTAAAAATATAAAACACTAAATTCAAGAGAAAGAGATAAATTTGAATTTTTGAGCTCTTATAAATCATAACGATTATAGATCATCGCTATGTATTGTTAACGAGTAAAATTACTTTTTTTTTTTATTTCTTTTCTTATGTGCCACACATTCTGCATTCCTAAGCATAACTTTTTTTCCAGTACAACTGATTAATTTTCAAAACTAAGTAATAGTGCAAAAATATGTTAATTGACAGATGTTCCAGGTAATTAACAGGTTAACAATTGTTTTTACGTAAAATTATAATAAATATAAAGTTTATAAATAAAACGATCTTTTTTTAAAGAACAAACAAAAAAAAAAACAACAACAATGATGGAGAAGAAACAATTAAGGAGATTGGAGAGAGAGAAAGGATAGAGCCTCATATTTATTTTTTAAAAATTACAATTGAAATATAATTATCAGCTGCATATATAGGCTATTTCCATATTTCTGTACTTTGCTTTTATTGCATTTATTTTTCTTAGCAAGGTTTTTTTTTGAAAATCTAATAACGTCCACTAATTAAATTTTTAAATCATTAAATTGTTTTATTATAAGTATTATGTGTTAACATATGTAATTTGAATGAGTGAAATGGTTTTTTCTTTTCAATTCATTTCAGAATTTGAATGTTTAAACTGTTCGCTTCGGTCTTTTTTAAAATAGTTATTAGTACATGGTTTTTATTTTTGTTTCTAAGTGTTAAGGTTATTAGAGTTACACACAATGTTATGAATGAAGCGAAGTAACGCAAATAAATCACAAATAATGACCCAAAAAAGGGACATGCAATAGTTCAGTTCTGTAATCAAGAACCTTCCTTAGTGTCGACACACATAATGTCAGGAAAAAAAAACAAGAGACAAACAGGTTGCAATAATGAAAAAAGTGATTGAACCAATAAAAGAATAAGAACTATCATGAACAAAATAATAAGAGAAAGAAAATAAGAAACGTGTGTGGAGATAATCCCAAACGCGCAAGATGTAAAAATTCAATTAAAATATTTTAAATTTCCAAAAATTTGGAAAGAATCGGTAGCTAAAAAGATCAGAAACTAAATTCTTTAAATTTTTCTTCATATGAAATGACCTTCATCTCTGGGAATCATATTTTGTACTTTTGAACTATATACACATACATGTGGTTCATTGGTTATAACCGTCGTTCAACAGCCGACCCAATTTTGAGTTTGATTCTAAGAACCACGGAAACCACGGTGATGAACCACGGAAACATCCCCCGGTTAGCCTGACGGCAAGTGAAATCTAACCCATAATCCACCTACCACGGAGCATATTTCTCATCAGCACTGTGGTCCGTGCGACCCGGGTGCAGAATTCGTATCAATCTGACATCGCAGGGATTCGAAACCGGGTGACCTAATTGAGAGGCAAGCACTCTATCCCCTGAGCCACAACAGTTCCGTATTATAGTATTAATTTTTTTCCCAATTAATTCAATATCACAAAATAATTTCCGAACCACTACGGCTCTAGTTGATTGGTTGGTTGATTCGTAGACGATCTTTAGGTTCAATCATCTACACTTAGTGAGCCCTGAATCGTTTGCAAGCATCACTGGCCGAGTGAATAGACAACTACATCTGTGCTGAATTAGCGCTCAATTTCACATTCCAGAGAAGGCATTTCTGTTCTCCTTAAGGATATTTAGTTTAAATTTTAAGGATCAAAAGCAAGTTTTTAAAGCAAGTGGCATTTTTTAACCAAATAATGTAACCGTTTTTACCCAACTAAAATCAGCGACAACTTTGGTGTTTTTAATCAAAATTTCAGGCAGTACTTAAAAAAATGCATATCTGTTTTGTCCATATGGTTTTTCGAAAAAGAGGTTGAAAAGCAAAGCACCCTCTGGACCACTTAGTAAAAAACGCACATTATATGAGCACACTCTATTCTCCGTGTGAAAATGAGGGGAGCTCACATACTTCATTTAAATTTTAAACATAATTTTGAGAATCTTAGTATACCATTTTTTGCTCTGTTTCACGAATAAACATATTTGCTACTTTACTGCAGCATTTCTTGTCAATCAAAGTAGTAATTTTCTGCTTTACAGCTCCAAGCTTAATTCTTTTTTGGTACCGAGTGTCAATCGTCTCACGACTTCAAACGTTTTTCCTTTTAGGATACTTTAAATTTATTGCTATAAAAAATTCTAAGACGCACTGTTTTATTTTTAACCCTTGAAAGTAGAAAGCTTAAATAGAATAACTTAATTCTGTGCAAGACGAATAAATTAAGCTTTGTGATCATATAAATTTCAATAATAAAATAAACAAATTTTTTCCGATAGTCCATAGTGCATTAGTGTCTCACTTTCAGCTATATTTCCGAAAAATGAAATATTCTAACACTTGTTTTTAATATAATACTAATTAAAAATGATAACAATCAAAAAGTATTTTCCAATTCTTAAAGCGTTACTTACATGCAACTCCTACATTGCATTCAGATGCTGTTTGACCTTTATCATTAGTAGCCACAATTTTATAATTTCCTGCATCATCATGAGTCATATCTGGAATACTAAGTTCTGCAACACCATCTGGCGATTGGGACATAATGATTTTACTACTAGGTCTAATGGGTTTACCATCTTTTACCCTAGAATTATTGATGGGATTATTAAAGATATTCTAAGCAATACCAATATAATAAAAAAAATAGCTATTCAATGAAGCAAATAAATACCATTTAATTTCAGGAACTGGTTTACCAGTAATCTTGGCTTGTAATTTTAGTGGTTCTCCTTCAATTAAATCAATAGAGGAAGGCAATTTGTCAATTACTTTTGGGCCAAAGTCTGCAATACAAGGAAAAGGAAATGGCAAATATTCATCATTTACAGGCATTAATACCACTTTTAATGATTTAAACAAGTTTCTTAATCTTTCACTTTCACGTAATTTTTCTTTGAAATTATTTAAACCCAACTCATATAATATGTTATGTTTCTCTTTTCCTTACTGAAATATATACGCCGAAGAGCCATTACATTATGACCACCCTGATAATGACATATAGGACCACCTTTAGCCCTCAAAACTGCAAGCAAAAGCAGGGGCATTAATTCCACAAGGTGCTGATAGGTAGTCTGAGGTATCTGGTACCAAGCGCTCACCAACTGGTCTTGCAATTCCCTCACATTGCGAGGGGGTAGCGTGGCAGCACGAATTTGGTTTTCCAAGTAGGACCACAAATGCGCTATTGGATAAAGGTCAGGTGAATTTGGGGAATTGACTGGAATGTTCCTCGACGATTCGACCCTTATGACATGGTTCATTATCCTGTTGGTAAGCACCATCCCCCGCAGGAAAATAACCATGAATGGGTGAACCTGGTCTGCAAATACAGTTTAAGTAGCTTACAGACGTCAGGGATTGTTCTATGAGGATTATGGGTCCTAATGTACCCCATGAAAACATTGTTCCTGGGCGAGAAACCATGNGAAAATAAATACACATAGCAAGGTGTGATATAATCATAGTAAAATATACCTGATATTTTTAGAGTAGCTTGCCTAGAATCTTCACCAGCTGAATTGCTAGCCTTGCATTTGAAAACTCCACCATCGTCAGCAGATTTTATGCTGCCTTCAAGTGTGTACGTATCACCCTTCTTAGATGTTACTAATCCTGAATTACTTTCAATGAGTTTGTTATTGTTGTACCTAAAATAAGTTAACGATGTTATGAAAATAAAGTCCAAATAAGTATAGAAATATACAAGATGAAAAACATTAGAACAACACTGTTATAGAAAATAGAGCTTTCTTAATAAATTACATATCATGATTATTTTTTTGAGTACTTAAGTTTTAAATTATAATTAAGATTTAGAACATGGTCATCGTACGTTTTGTTTTCGTATTGTAACGACGTGTATCCAGGAGAGATGATGTGAGATATAATGTGGAACGTAATATAATAAGAGTTTAGTTATTAAAAAAACGTGTATCCAGGAGAGATGATGTGAGATATAATACGGAACGTAATGTAATAAGAGTTTAGTTATTGAAAAAACGTGTATCCAGGAGAGATGATGAGAGATATAATGCGGAACGTAATGTAATAAGAGTTTAGTTATTAAAAAAACCTGTATCCAAGAGAGATGATGTGAGATATAATGCGGAACGTAATGTAATAAGAGTTTAGTTATTAAAAAAACCTGTATCCAGGAGAGATGATGAGAAATATAATGCGGAACGTAATGTAATAAGATTTTAGTTACTAAAAAAACGTGTATCCAGGAGAGATGATGTGAGATATAATGCGGAACGTAATGTAATAAAAGTTTAGTTATTGAGAAAACGGTGAGGAAAATAGTTTCAAAAATTTCTTGAAACTGAGGTTGTTTTCGTGAAAAGTTTTTAAGAGGAAGAGTTAGTTGTCATTAAATGAATATATTATTTTGATTAAATAAAAGGTTGTTCTTTTACTTGAGATTACTGTTAGAATGCTATAGTATCTTTTTAATATAAAATCTCACCTAAAATAGAATTAATGAACGCATATTTTCAAATGCTTTTTTTTTCTAGTTTTGCAATAAGACCAGAGCATTTAAATGACATCGGAACTTCTTCTGTAAGTTATGAAAGTTGAAACTCTTATGATTTAGTAAGAGCCTGGTATTAAAAATTCAAAGGTAAAGATTTTGGTATTGGTAGGTTCTAATGCGAAGTTTATTGCAATGAAAATTAATTAGACAACAGTATGTATTTACGTGTTATGATGGAAATTGATATTGCTGCACTTCATCACTAAATGAAAGATTTCATACTTGAGTTATCCCTGTTTACATGAGCAATGATGGATTGGTTGAGTGCCCCACCATGCAACTCAAAAATGTCCCTTTTTTAATTTTTTTTAATAAAAATTATTCTTAAATAAACAGAAGAGAACTCTCCTGAGCTCTAGATCACCCGACTTTATTTAGAATGGTGTCTAGACATTGGTAAAAGATTGTGGAATAAGGCGGAGAAAAGTTGTAGAACTAGATGGGGATTGAAATGTAGATACTAAAAAAAAAAAGTATCTACATTTAGTAGGTATCTACATTAGTACAAAAGTATCTACATTTCTAGTAGGGTAAACATTGCGCTAAGGGTAAATAAATCATAAATAAAGCACAAATAATGGCTCCAAAATGGGTTTACTTTGATGTCGTGTGAATAAAAATGGGCATTACATGGGGATTCTATTTACACTAATTGAAATGGCTTTGGACAAAAAAGAAATAATGCAAACATCTGGACTGGAGAGGAGCATTTTATTCAGTCTGATATTTGTTCTATATTATTTTTTTAAATATTTTATCATTTTTAAAAAAAATTACCATGAAATATCTGGACTTGGATAGCCATGAACTTCTGCTCGGAATTTAAAATCATCTCCGATGTCTAAAGTTTGATCAGATAAATCTTTGACAAACACTGGAGCTTGTGCTAAAAGTGAAAAAAATTTTTAAAAAAAATAGTTAATTGTCATAAACAAGTATTTTTATATAACATATAAATCAACGATATTTTGAACAAAAAGACACAAAGTTTATTAAAAAATAAATTGCTGAAATATAACACTCATAAATTAAGCTACAGTATAAAGATAGATTCTTTGAAATTAGAAAACATTTTAAAAATTAACAAGTGAAGAATAAAATAATTACCACTCTTTATGTTTTGAAAAAAATACATGTTCCCGAACACTGGCACTTAATGGATTAAAAAGCTATATAACCTACTGTAAAGCGACAGCCAGACATTAGTTGCGCTGATTCATTGTTTTATTTCTCGCTAAATTAGATTTGTAATTAATAAGTTCATTCATTTAAAAAAATATGCAAATAATGAAGATCGTAGCGTACTATAAATAAAAATCTGTGTCTGCCAAGTTAGGTTAAAAGCTAATAAAATGTTTAAAGTTTTAGCTTCCATTTTATTAAAAAATGTCACAGTTGTCTCATTTTACAATTTTATTATTCATTTATTATGAATACCATGGCATAATGTCATGAAATTCGCACAACTTTTGTTCAAATTTTGAATTTCACGCTGCGTTGTATGCAACTCAATAAGCAAAGAAAACAAAAACAAGACTCTGGTCAGTGCTAATAGCTAGAATAATCATCAATTTCATAACTTATATTCGAAATAAATTTTTTTTCCATCAGCATTTTCTTTTGCGGTTGGAAGGAAAAAAACCAGACAGTGTATTTATTATTATTATTTCATAATTTCAATTTTTCATGCTATGTCAATTTCTAAACTTCCTGTAAATGTTTTTGCTTAATGTCACATTGTTCATAAACTGTACACAATATAAAAACAAAATTGCGTGACGCTTTATGAGAGAGTTTTGTTACTTTAATAAAAGTTTATTATTTGAATAAACCTTTGTTACTTTAATAAAAGTTTATTATTTGAATAAACGTTTGTTACTTTAATAAAAGTTTATTATTTGAATAAACGACGTGAAAATAAAGTTTCTTTAGTAAATTGTATCCACAACTCAAAAGCACATCTTTTTGTCAAGCCATTAAACCGTGCATAACTTTCCTAGTGAATAATAACAAGCTCACGTGATCTAGCACATTTTTAGAATGCTAAGGTGAACATTGCATTTCAAAGATCTAGAGAGGCAAATATTGCACTGATTAAAGTTTTTATGCGTAAATATATAAGTAGGATGATTTGAGAAGGGCAAGTGATGATCAATAAGTGCATGACTGAAAGCCCTTACATAGCAAGACGGAAAAGTGCAAAAACTGCTCCGAAAGACATTTCATTTTAGCATTTTTTGGAGAAAAATAAAATATCTGCAACTATCAAGATTTCTCTTTTAATTTTAGTCTACATGTAAAAATACTTATTTTCCAAGGATAAAGCAGATATTGTTGAATAGTTTTAGAAGGAATAACCTAACTCCTCCCGAAAACTAGTTATAACTGAAATGGTTTTACTAACAGCCTTTCCTCTTTTCCGTCTCGCGTTCACCCCTGAGTAAGTGCGATGCAATTTCTTTATTCCTTCACTTTTAAAAATAAACAATACATTTAGGCTTTCTCAGTGTGTGCTTACCTTTGATAGAGAGTGTACAGTCACATTTTGCTTCACCAGCTTGATTGGAAGCCACGCAGGTGTAAAGTCCGACTTCATCACTTTTTACGCTTTTGATGGAGACAGCATATTTCTTGGCTTCTGCATCAGCAATCACCTCAAAACCTTCCAAACTTTTAACAGGGGTATCGTCTTTTAGCCTAGAAGTTCATATTCATAATAAGCCAAGCTAATATTTTCTATAATCGGAGAATAAAAATAATAAAGAAAACATAAAAACAAATGGAACTAAATAGTGGTTGTACGATACGTCATTAAATGTAATAATTAAATTTTAAATGCAGTAATAACTATATGAGCAGTGTGCGAAATTTTAAAAAAATACTGTCATTTCAGAATAATTTTCAGATTTCTATACATAATTATGTATTTTGTTCTGGTTTACTGTATTTGGGGGGAGAATCGAAAAACTTTTCTTTTGCTTCAAAATTGTCATCCTAAAAATGCGCAAAGAATGCTATATAGGTTCAACGAAAATGGTATTGCTAAACCTCCTTTAACGACCATCTCCAAACAACGGAAACGGCTATATCTTTACAAGTCGAATCTTTTCCATTGATGTACAACCTCTGAAAAGTGATTTCTGAACAACAGCTACCCATTCATAGCGGCATGAATTTTCTTTTAGGGTATATTTTAGTTAACTTTTTTCACTTTTTCTTCGCCGCTAGCTTACAATAATTTCAACAATTGGCGTTCAATAAAACTTTTTTTCCGGAACGGTCATCCTATTTCATTCATTGTAAAAAAAAATTTAATCATTCATACATAAGTCAATCATACATACGATTTGACTGTTCAATGTCACTTACTGCAGATATCCTGCATCTTTCATAGGTTTCCTACGTGAATTATATGAATCTAGCATCAACAAGTTTCAATACTCACAAGGGGTGGTGATTCCTTCATCAATATTTTTTCTTTGTGCAATTCGGAAAAATTACTTCTGCATGCGTGAAAAAAATTCTCCGTGCATTCGGCCAATATTTGTTAACCAATTTCACTTTTTCCTAACTTAAATTCTACTCGTTGGTTGGTAGAGAGGCATGAAAAAGAAGTTTAATAAATGAAGAATAATAGAAATATAAGTGACAAGAAAATATTCCTTAATTCCTCAATATTCCTTAGTTTCTTAATTAAATTTATAGCGAAAAGTTAAAAAAAAAGATACAACATGACTGAGGAAAAACGCAAATTAATGACATTTGAAACAAAAAGGGAATCAGTATTTTAGTGGATTAAATCTACTGTTAGTGTTTTTTGTTCTTTTTTTTTTGCACAATCAATTCGTTGCTTACTCTGAATAGCAGCCACCACACTGGCCACGAAGGCTCAGTTATGCGAAGGACTGTTGTTACGGTCTAAGAGTTTTCATTGTATTTTTAATATCGTAAAATTCTTCCCATAATTGTATTTCATTTAAATACTAAAAGTCTGAAAACATATCTTTTTATTAAAGGGATCATTTTACATCATGTCAAAAGAGGAAAAAAAAACTGTTGACACAATTTTAAAGATTATGATGCTTGAAGCTTTTAGAAATAGTGTCCTTTTTACCCATGCAAAATTTGAATCGACCGAAGTGATCATAGGAAGATAAATTGCATTCCTTTTTCAATAGCACTGTAATTAAAGTAACATTCTTGCATTTCAAAGAAGGATTTCAAAATTGCTAGGGTTAAAGTTCCAGCACTCATTTTGGTCAATCCGAACTTTGTATGGGTAAAAATGACATCATTTCTAGAAACTTGAAGAAGGATCTTTCAAGTTGTACTTACAGGTAAAATTTTGCAAAACAGTTATAGATAAAGGTTTAATTTATTATTTATTGAGTTTTTTCCTTGAAAATTCTTCAAAACAGCAGCTTTGCGAGAGTTAAAAAATGAAAATGTAATATCCATTTCCCACTTGTACTAGTTATTGCATTAGTTTTGTCGCATGCTATAGTGATTTCATTTGATTTAATAAACATGATTTCAAATTATTTTGTCCACCATGACATACATCTAAGCAAATTCTCTATTAATTATTTAATGGTGTTAAGTGAACGTCTCTGCGCCCGGAATGAATAATTTTTTCCCGAAAAGCATAAGAGCTTATAACTATGCTAATGTTTTAAACATCAAAGCAAATTAGAAATATGTTTTAATAATGCTTACCACTTAACATCAGGCTTTGGAAATCCAGTTATTTTAGCTTTGATTCTTGCAGGCATGCTATATGGAACTGTAATATCTTGCATCTCTTCAATCTGTGGAGCAACAGGTTCTGCAACAAAGATTATATTCTTTTTACAAAAAGGAATAATTTAGTAAGTAAAGAGCGAATTGTAAAATAAATCAAGTCACAAAATTATATAGTGATATGCTACACTAAAATGTAAATGAATTGGGCTTTGTTTTAAAGGTTCAAGTTCAATGAATCAACGAAAGAAGACCGTCCACTGTCTTCGTAGCTGAAGTAATAGTTTTAAAAGTGGTGTTTGGACACTGTAAAAAAGCATTGCGTTTCAAAATGAGACTCCTCAAAGCGCTAGTGGCAGAAAACTGCAAAGTTTTCGATTCTAACTCAAAACTGGTTAGAAATCTAACTCAAAAAGGTATAGGAAAAAAGCGAATTACAGAGTTGTACTAAATCAATTTAGTACATAATTGAAATTTATTCTTTTATTATATCCATGGTGCTATTCTATTCTTTACAACTTAGTCTCGGTGTATGAGGACGACGAATGTATGTTGTTTCATGTATCAACTTATTAGGTAATTGTTTTGTTTGCATTAATTAAAGTTTATTTCTTTTACGTTGCTTTTTTAAATTTGGTTGGCGGTATTGGATGTTTAAAGGTATGTCATAAATAGTTTTGTCACGGTAAATGGCAACAACTTTGGCCTGCATTTGAATGATGTGAAAATACCTAATAATGAAGCAACCTTCCTCTGCTTTTATAAAAGAAAAAAAAAGAGGAAAATGGGTGTTTTGTTTCTCCAAAAACACTTACTTTTGATGCAACCATCTACTGATATTTGGAGCTAGTGAAAATACCCAAATATGGTAAAACTGAGCTCCATTTTATGTAACCACAAAATGAATACCAATTTTTGGTGCAGGAATTTTTGGCTCGGAATTTCCAACAGTAATAATTAACGGTAATAGCTTTAATAATTGCCATTTAGGAATTTTAAACGTTAATAGCTTTAATAATTGCCTTTTGGAATTTTTAACCGCAATAGCTCTAATAATTGCCATTTAGAAATTTTTAACGGCAATAGCTTTAATAAGTGCCATAATATCCGTTTGAGTATTCGTTTAAACAATTATAATAATCTAAATAAATAATTTTTATATGACTAGAATCTTTTTTTTTTCAACAGGACCTAAGTATCAGAATCGGAGTCGAGCAATTATTTTCGATTTTGCAGCTCGACTTAAAATCATTGTTTAAAAAATGGCAGCAGTTGTTTTGTTGCTCTTGAGAATTATAGCTGAGAATGAAATTACTTAATGCTTAAAAATCTAGTAAAACACGGTAGTATTTCTTCTAGCTATTAGGTTGAATCTTAGAACACAAAAATATGATAAGTTGATAGAAACTTATTTTTTATGCTCACTCTACATGTTTATACTAAAAAGAGTTCTTTCTGCTGTCTGCCACTATAGCTTCGAAAAAGTGTTGTTTCAGATCGCCCTGAATATAAAGTATTAAATTAAAGTACTTTTGCCCCACTTTTTTATTATTTGAAGAAGAAAAAACTACTGAGGGCATGTAGCTCAAGCAATTTTCGTAAATAATTAGAATTATAACTAATTTTATAATAAAAATACATTATAAATGTACTAATAATTATACCTTTAACGGTAATTTGAGCTACTTCTTTGGCTTCTCCATATTTGTTCACAGCTTTGCATGTGTATTTAGCAGTGTCTTTGACTTGGAGATCTTTCAAAGTTAGTGTATAAGTGTTATCTTCAGGATCGGTTTTTATGATAGTTTTTTCGTTTCCTTCTAACAGTTCATCATCTTTATACCTAAATCGTGATTGAGAAAATTATAAATTGTAATAACAGGTTTGGAAAAATATTAGTAGTCTACGCATGGTACTTAGTTACTTAGGTGCAATTTATCTGAATACCTTGTTCAGAAGTAGCTTGGAAAAGAAAAGCAAATTGTCTAAATATATTTCAGTTTTAACTACTTACTTTCTCCTTAAACATATTTCACAAGAAGCGAGTAACAAAATTTAGTATTGTAAAGAAGATTGCAAGTTGTCAAATATTCGGCTTTAAGTTTAGTTTTTGGCATATAAAAATTGATGGAAAAGTTTTTTCTGTATAAAAACTATACTGAAATATGTACTTAAAAATATTTTAACTCTGTTTGGCTAATTATTGCCTAAATGTGAAATCTAATTTCAGAAAATAAATGTTACCAGTGGTAAACAAACATGGGATTTGATTTCAATAATGCAAATTTTGCAATATGAAATCAAATTTATGAAATCAAAAACAACAAGTGCAAATTTTGCATCTAAATTTTTGTGCAAAAAGCTAAACACAAAAATTTGCACAAATGTATATCCTTAATAAATAAACTGCGCAATGTGCAAAAAAAAAGCGAATTCTGTTTATTACTTTGGATTTAAAGATAATCTTTGCATATACTAGGATTCAATATTAATGCAACAAGGATCTCTAACCTTAAACATGCAACTTAGTTTGTACAAAAGCTTTAAAGAAATATCTTTGTTCCAAATAATTCATGTTTTTGGTTTCTAACGCTCTAAACAGAGTTCAGAAGCTAGTATACATAAAACAGTAAATGAAATTTTTTTGATACAAATATGAAACTTTTTCTACTAACGAAGAAAGCGGAAATATATGTCAATAATAAATACTTTTTGCTACTTTAAAAGTCAATGCCATAGAATTCAAATTCTTGAAATGTAGTTTTTTTTATAAATCTAATGAGGCAGATAACAAAAAAAAATTAATGATTTCTAAAAAGTTAAAAATGTTTCAATTCAATTAGAAAGCATCTACAGCTATATGTTTTTTTAATCCGATTTTTTTATTAAAATTTGTTTGTTTAGAAAAAAAGATTATATAATGCACAAAGTTAAAAGATTGTATAAATTTAGTTTCATAAATGATCACTTCATCACTAGTAATTAGGCACAAATTTATGAAATTTGAAATGCATTATGAGATACTAACCATGAGACATCAGGACTTGGTTTTCCTGTTATTTTTACCTCTAATCTTCCGGCGTCATCGACAACAATAACTTGATCATAAAGATGGGTAATGAACATCGGTGCTTGAGTGTCCTTTTTGGCTAAAATGGCAAGAAGAAAGAGTAAGTTAAAAGGTAAGGCGATCCATATAAGCTACTCATATGGGTAATGAACATTGGTGCTTGAGTGTCCTTTTTGGCTAAAATGGTAAGAAGAAAGAGTAAATTAAAAGGTAAGGCGATCCATTTATGTTACTCAATCTGAAATAGGATATTCATACTTTTTGGCTTAGGTGACAATGGTCTTTAAAAAGTTAACAATATTGTTAATGATTTTATATTCACTTGAATTTAATTTCTCCAACGTGCGCAGCAGGATATATCAATATAAATGCTATTTTTTTTCCTTAATCTGAAATCAGATATATGTTATTTTTCTTTAAGAAATTAGGTTTTAGATAATTAGGTTTCGATAGATGATAACCCATTAGTTCCAAGCAGCCTTTTAAAAGAGAGGTTCCTTTCTTCAATTTTTTTTTTATAAAAAGTGGGATCACACGTCTATTACTGTTGAGAAATATTTCGCAGAAAAAAAATAGTTAAATCAAAGCAGCGTCTTCAGAAAACTACACAACGGGAAGAAAAATTTCTAAATTAACATTCAAAAGCTCATCTCTTCACCTTTTTTTAATTATTAAAAAATTCATTTTATTTGAGAATCACTGCGAGGGATTTCTGTTCTCGAAACATTAAGCTGTCAGGATAAAGTAGTTAGTATTCAAATATCGGTACGGATATTGTACTATCAATGTTTTAAATATTTATTTAAATTTTTTTTTTTTTTTTGAAACCGGTCGCCTTCGTTATATCTACTATAGTATGCTAACAAAATTTTTTTTTATGCAGGGCTGCCAACCACTAAGTTTTTTGAAAAACATTTTATTGAGTAACAAGTTAAGGCAGTTAGTTTTCGAATATCCGTATCGAAATTTTACAATCACTTTTTTAGTAATTACTATACTACATAGTAATTACATATATTAAAACATAAACTTAGTTATCATTAGAAGGTATTTTCCCAAAAAGCGTAGAAAGCTGTCAGCCTTCTACTAGGATCTGAGATCAAAACACAATGCTTTTTTAAGGCTTTAGTAGTAAGAAATGCTATCAATTTTTTAAATTTTTTGTAAAATTTTATTCTAGTAGCTAAATTAATAAAGTTATAAGCTATGTTCCACACCACTACATATAAATGATTTAAGATTTCAATTGCAATGCCACTTAGTTACATCACCAGAGATGCCAACTTCCATCGGACAGCAAATATATATTTTAAAGTGGTAGCTTATCAATTGCGATTCTTGGTTTAATAAATTCAATTTAGTAGATTTTTATCCACCACCATTTCTAAATAATTCACCACTTTATAGGAAATATGTCATGCAATACCTTTTATAAAGCAAGTATAAATGGTCAAATATTTGCAAAATTTAATTTGTAGTTATTTACCGTTTCTGTATTTATTTTGGCGTGTCCAGAGCAGTTGGCATCTCTGCATCACTTTCGTGGCAAAGCTTTTAAAATGTTTACAAAATTAACAAAAATTCTGAAAGCCTATTTTTAAAACGCCTTCTATTCTTAAAAATATTTTACCAAAACAGTAGTAGTTAGCATGCCTTAGTACGTAACAGAAAGAAATCTCTACTTGGTATAAACAAATATGTTCTACCCCTTTTTCCATACATGAATCACTTTTGCACAGGTGTTTTAACCCCAGAAAAGAGAAAAAGTTGGTAGTTAAACATTTTCATATTTACCATGCTTTCATGAAAAAGAAATGAGCTTAACTGCTAATGGTTACTAAAAGGTATAATGTAAGCACAAGACTCTTTTTAATATCTGAAAATAATTATAAGTCGTAGTAATCACGAACATTTACTACTTGCGGAAGCAATCTATAAAAAGATTTTACTACCAATTCTCTCTTTAGTCTTGTGTATAGCCCTGCTTTTTGTCGTCTAGAAGTAAAGTGTAAAGTTTATAAGATGCATTACATGAAGTAATTGCTGTTTCTGAGAAATATGTTCTTATAAAACCCAAATGAAAGAAATATAACCCTAGTACAAATTTCTTAAATCTCTTATTTAGCGTAAAAAATTCAACTAAGCATATAGATTGCTTACATTTGATAGTAACAACAGCTTTTTCAGACGCTTCACCAATTTCGTTCTTAGCTTTGCAAATGTAAGTACCACAGTCTTCTACTGAAGATTCCTCAATAGTTAGACTGTGGTTAGATCCATCGCTAACTATTTTGCATTCTTCTGGATCCATTTCCGTTTTTCCCAAATACCTGGAACAGCAAAATTATTTGAATTAAAAGGTCATACAAAAGGTGACCAGATTTCCAAACCATGATTTTAGGTCAAATCAGCGAAACGTTCTCAAAAAGTTTAACGTTTCGAGCTTTTTCTAAAAAAAATAAATTAGTAACTAATATCAGATACAGAACCATAGCAAAATTATTTTAATTAAATGGTCATATAAAAGGTGACCAGAATTCCAAACCATGATTTGAGGTCAAATCAGCGAAACGTTCTCAAAAAGTTTAACGTTTCGATTTCTTTTTTGAAGGCACCCATATATTTATAGAAAATATTAATTTATATGGGCAACGAAGCACGTTTTTTTTCAACAAAAAAAAAAAAATAATAAATTAGTAACTAATATCAAATGCAGAACCATTTTCAGTAAACTTGATATCTTTGCTAAGCAGATTTGATATATCTTATGATTTTCTTCATTTATTTAACACTTGTAAAATGAAGGAGTTCATGATCAAAAGTTATTTTTCGTTATTTTGAAATTATTTTCTGACGAGTATGTAGTTTCAATAAGTTACTTTTAGCATGATATTTTTTTTTTCGGTAGTATTCTCCGTAAGACTAAATTGTAATCTTGTTTAATAAAGCATGTGCATTTCTGATTTTCTTTATTTCTCTGATTATAAAAGACGAGGAGATGGTATCGGACAATTCGAGAACGTTTAAGGACAAATATCGAGATTTGAACACTTTTTCCGTACTCTAGGAGTTTGAAACTTTGAGATAACAACTATTGAAATTCGAGGACAGTCCTCAAGATGGAAAGCCTGGTCACCTTAAGTTATACATATTAATTAAAATATGTTGTAAAACATTGAGTATTGGAGTCAGTGTTTCCATTGGAGTTGGGAAACTATTGGTTCTACTGACCCAGGATATAAAAATTTTTTAGTCCGCTTTTACTATAAGCGGGCGACTATTTAAAGTAATATAAATCTCCTATTTATTTTCGTCAGTGGCAGAACTCTGACATAATGTTCTTTATTGACATCAGTCTGAACTGAAATCTCTATAATTGTTTTAAATTTGTTCTCATTTATTCTGTTTCTTGCATTAGTATTTAATTTTTGTTTGTTTATGCTTATTTCGAGTAGCAAAAATTATTATTTATTAATTTTTCTTTCGTTTCAAAGTTTAATTTTGATTACTTATATCTGCTGGCATCTTAATTTTCTACAATTTTTACGTGTCCCAGAGAACGCATTATAATTTAGTTTCAAGTCCCCTCAAAGATTTTCGGCGAATTTGATGCTCTAAAACGAGAAAGTGGAATCACTAGTGGTGTTCTAAGGGTGATCGTCTCCTTTGATATATTTAAGTAGAACCATTTGTAAATGTTAAAATTTAATGTAATACATGAATTTTAAAGATAATATGAAATGTATTTACCATTTAACAGTTGGAAGAGGATTGCCTTCTACAGAAGTTTCCAGTTTAAGAGCGTCTCCTTCGACTAGTGTTAGATCCGAGAGTTGTTTCAGGAACTTAGGCTTTTCTAAGTGAAAAAGTATCTTATTTATTTCACGGTCCCATAAACATTTATCATAAATGAAACGAAAAGAAGTTGTGACTAATAAATTTAAAAATGAGAGCACTCTTCTTTTATAACACAGCATTGAAAGAAGTGAGAGTTTATATTAATTTATGATACTATAGAAATGTTTTCATGTGCTAAGTCCCTAAAAGTAGCTTAAAAAAACTTAAATTTCCAGTTAGTTTTAAGTAAGGTTGCAAGTTTTCCTTGGAGCGAATTATTTGTGTCTTCTTTTTTCTAAATTCCTATAATTTTCGGTAAAGCAACAGTTTGTAAGAGTACCATTTAAAATGAGGGATTTTTTGGCTTACATAATTTTTTTTTTTGCACAAATTTTGGTATTTTTTCCAATTATTTAAAAAGTGTTTTTGCACAACATTTTTGAACATCTATTTTCAGCTTTTTTTGTTTTTTACCAAACTCATCCCTGTAGTATGAATCATTATAGAGCTCTATGAAAATTGAGCATTTTAAAAAAAGTTCGTGATTTTCAAACAAATTTTGCCAAAATATGGTGGTGATGAAAGGGTTGAAACTAGTTATGCAGGCAGAAAGTTTTTTAAGAGTGCTCGCGGAAAGTTCTTCATGTTATCTATATCTGTTGATATATAGGTTTAAGAGTAAATCTTTTACCATTTTTTACTATAGCGGTACCTTTTCAGTATTGTTATCATAGGGTGCCATTACAGATTAAATAAATTTTTTCGGCAGAAATTATATTTAGTAGAAAAGTGTAGTAGTTGGCAGACCTACAAAAATCCAAGTAAGTTTGTCATAGTTTGGCTCAGCGACTATAAGATTGGAGGTCATCAAAGGGTATTGCCTCTTATTGATATAAGTCTAATGTCTTACTCTAATTCTCGCTTAAAAGTAATAATATAATGTCTTTAAGTGATCATATGAAAATTAAGTCTTCTTATAAATAGTTTGAAAGTGTCTAAGTGTAGAGAAAAAAATTATAATTTAGTAAACTACAACTGAATAGTATTTATAAATAAAATTTAGTAAACTATAACTGACAGTATAACAGAAAACCTCAACACGGTTTCTTATAAGTAGTCTGATCTGACCACTATGAAGGTAAACCAGTTTACGAAAGAGCCCTTTAATAGAAAATCTAGTAAAAATAAGAAAGTGGAAGCAAATATATGTCTAAAAATTTGTTTAATCTACGAATATGATTGGTTTGTCTTATTCACTTGTCAGCCACTACAGATTCAATTCTCAAATATATATGATAAATATCTCTCAAGTACTTTTAAAATAGAATTTGGGTTCATGCGCACAACTGGTTCACTTCATAAATAGTCTGCGCAGACTACTTATAAAAAAACCGTGTGGAGGCTTCCTGATGTAGGAGGTGATGACTCAGGTGCCCAGATGATTAATACAGTTCAGTTTTATATTCTATTCAGTTAAAGGAACAGATAGTTCTTTGATCTAGGTATTCCGATTACAATGTTTAAATCGGTTATATATATTCATTATATTATTCATTAAATTATCTTTGCATTTATTTTCAATAGTAAATTAATAAAAATATGCTAGAAAAAACTGCTAATTTCTATATTTTTTAATAAAATATTAGTCACCACTTCTTCCACTTATATTTGCCTTTGACAACCCTGGAACTTAAGTGGACAGAACTATCCGATTGGTCTAATATAATTCTCCGTAGATTAACATGGTGAAAATAGTTTGTAGAGAATCTTAGCATGTTGAGCGCCGCGTCAGCCATCGGTAGCTGGCACTGAAATTACATTTAGGCTGCGTCAACCACCGGTGGCTGACACTGACCTTTCACTTAGGCCGCGAAAAACAGCTGACTGATAGCGTATAACATGATATAGAACTATAAAATCTACATTCTTTTGCAGAAAATTTACTTAATTATTGTGATTCTTGGTTTAATAAATTTAATTTACTAGGTTTTTATCCACCACTATTTCTAAACAATTCGTAGGCTTATATAATTCACCACATTTTTCAGATATGCATCACTAGATGGCGTCACTAAGGCTTAGCAAAATTTATGTAGAATCTTCATGAATTTGAATCCCGATTTTCTGTATATATGCTATCATCAATTTTTAATGCTCAATTCCAAATTTCTACTGCAATTGATGTAAATATCACAGATTAAGCATGTATTTCATGATTTTGTGTATGTATGCTATCATCAATTTTTAATGCTCAATTTCAAATTTCTACTGCAATTAATGTAAATATCACAGATTAAGCTCGTATTTCATGTGTATCCATCTAATCATGGCTGTATTCATTTTTCAATGGCAATTAATGTAAATCTCCGATCAAGTTTGTANGATATTCAGAACAGGTTACTTTATTATAATGTTACCACATTGTTACATAATTCAAAATGTTTTATTCACTGTATATAATTTTCATGATGAATGGGGTAGGGGACGCTGCGCGGCCTAGGCACCCAGTTTTGTTTGAATAAATAAAGAAAGACAGATATGCATCCTCCTCCCTGAGTCACAGAACTAGTGTTCCACTGCCTACTAGTCATCTTCTCATATGACTTCCACAGCTTTTGGCTGTGGCGAACTTTTACATATATTTCTTCTTGAAATTTATGCCTAATCAACTTAGAACTTTTTAGTTTCGATGAATCAGTTAGCGGCGCTTCGCGCCGAATACTGAGATACCAAACATTTCCAACATTCAGATATGCATGCTAAACCTTTTAAAAACTAGCAAAATCTGTCTAATATTTGCAAATTTAGTTTGTAGTTATTTACCGTTGTGGCCTGACGAGCAAGACATGTAAAATTAGCGTGGCGCTCAACGCGTAAATTGCCATTTTTTCGAATTTGAATTATGGTCAAATTTGGAGTCATCAAGCAAGAATTTACTTCTTTCAAACTGACTGGCATTGACAGAATCAAAGAGTTAGTACTGATTAGTTTAGGAATTAGGAGCATAAAAAAAGAATACGATTTATATTTTTTAATTTAAAATAAAAAATATCTATGTTTGTCTTTTAAAAAAACACTGGTTTGTATAGAAAAGTTCATCAATTAAGATATTAAAATTAAATATTAAAAAAATATGTCTTACTTAACAACATAAGTTTTCCTTTGCTTTCTGCCTTTCCAGATGAATTTTTTATTTCAAATTTCACTTCTCCAACAGTTTCAGAATTCACTTTTTTAATAATCAGTTTATAAATTCCTTTTGATTCATCTGCTGTCATAGTGAAGTGGTCACTTTGAACAATTTCTTTGTCATTCAGATACCTTCAAAAGCAAAAAAAAAAAAAACGAAATTGCTTTAAAATATAAGCTGTACATCTTAATAGGTAAAACAATGAAGTACACCACTATCTATACCCTTACAGGTATAGGGTATATAGTTATACATCAATGGAACAGAACTTATTCTAATTTTGCAACCCTGAGTAAATAAGAATTTTTTTTAATTCTTACATAGTAGTTGTGCTATGACAGATCACTAAATAATAAATTGCATCATTTTTAAAATAGATATAGGGTAAACTAACCAGTGAAGGAACACTACCCAGTGAAGGAACATTTCATATATATTGATTAAAAATAAGAATTTGAAAGTTTTTTTTTAGATTGATTGGTAAAAATAGCTTACTGTCAAACAATAGGAAGTCATCTAGCAATGTTTTGGATTATCTGGTTAAATAGACTTCTCTGGAAAAATGTTTGAATTTGTCATTATCTCTGCAACACCTTGTTTCTTTGAAAAAATTATAATGTAAGTGTTTGTATTTATATGTTTGAAGCGGAATTAATTGCATGCAATAGTTTTATTTTTCTCACTGTGAAAAAGAGAATTCAAAACATACTTATTGAAGTTACGTTTTATTTTTTTTAAAGCATCATAGCATAATAAAGTACTGAGATAAGGGGGTGTTTATTCACTGGATCACCAAACGATGAAAAACCAGTGAAGGAACAAGAGTTCCTTTACTGGGTGTTCTGGGTGTTAAAAATCTTTATATTGTTAAGGCAAATAATTTGACACATTTACTGAATACACAAACATTTGACATATTGCACAATCCCAGTACATAGATTTCAAATACGCCGACCAGCTGGCCGAATAGTTAGCGTGCCTGACCACGGAGCCGATGCTTGCGGGTTCGAATCCTGCTCAGGGCATGGATGTGTCTTTCTCTCTGTGTTCTATGTCCTTTCTCCTTTGTGTGAATGTGACCCGCCCTGTAAACGGGTTTGTGGTTGTGTGACGTGGGCGACGCTGCTCCACCACCGAGGCTTCGCCACAGGTGCCCACTGGGTAACGAGAAGAGAGTAGCAGTTCTGGCATTAAGAGGCCAATGGGACAATACATCCCAAGTGCCCACAATTAAAAAAATAAAAAATAGATTGATTTCAAATAATGTTGACAGGTAGAAAAATTTTTTTTAATCTTATAAATAATTTTTTTATTTTGCAAATGTTGGGAAAGGTGTGAATTTTTTTTTATACGTTACAAGTTATCAAATATAACAATATATTAATTATGTGTAAAAGCTCTATTTTTTAAAATTAGTATATTAATATTAAAAATACTAATTTAGTTATTTGCTCAAAAATATGCAATCTCAAAATATAAACAATTATAAAAGTAAATAAATGCATTTTAGTTAATTTATAATTACCATTTAACTTCAGGAGTTGGAGTGGCTGTAGCTTCAACGATCAATTCAACGTTAGCTTCATCTTCAATAACCTTTCTGTCTTCTAAGCCTTTCTTTATTACAGGCTTACCTAAATTAATTAGTGCGAATTACTTTTCTGAAGTACTTGTAGTAGTATAAAATGTACACTTTTCGTTATAATTTCATTTAACGACTTAAATTTTGCTGGTATTTTGACAAGCTTCATACGCACATGGTAATATATTTCAGTACATTTAAGTAAATATAACTAGATTCGCAAATTATAGTTTTGATTTTTTATTTCTAAAGTGAAAGCTAATAATAAATAATGCTTAGAATATGCATCAAAATTGTTAGTACTTTTCAAACTTGACCTGAGCCCTGTTTGAACAAAAAAATTAATTTTCTGTCAAAATCTCATAGTCAACCGTAGAGACTGGGTTTTATATTAAGTGACAGATATCAACGATTAAGATTAAAAAGTGTTGAAAAAGTATGAAAATTCAAAAGCAAATACTTTCACAGTTCAAATTATATTCCTATTATAATTTTTCATAAAAAAAATCAGTCATTCTAGTTTAAGTACACTGCATACATTTGTATGGTAATAATTTGTTAAAAGTACTTCGAATTATATATGAAATTATTTAATATTCAGCCATGTTCCTTCCAGTTTTTTCTTAAAGGGACAAAAAATAAACAAAACGCTTCGAGAAATACATAACAAAGATCACAGATCACAAAAAACCCCACTCAAAAACAAATTAAAAGGTTTTTGAGTGAAGAATGATGCTAAAAAAAATTCGAATCAGAGCATATCTAATCAGACCTTTAATTAGAGTAGAGAGCCATATACCCTTATATAAAGGAGCTAACTATGTTACTTCTCTTTTTTTATATTACATAATTATATTTCAAAATATATAATCAAAACAATAAAGAGATTAAGCTTTTAAAAAAGTTGACAATTTAAAAACAATGTTAAATTGACATAAAAAGTTATTCAACTATTTTCTTAAACTATAAAACAGTATTAGTCAATAAAATATAAATAACATACCGGTTACAGATACGGTTCCAGCAGTAGAAGCAGTTCCTTGAGGATTTTTGATTTCACAGGAATATTTTCCGGCATCTTCTTTTTTGACTTTATTTATAACCAACGTCAAAGATTCGTCATTTTCCAATGCAGTTTTCACATGCTTTCCATCTATCGCCAAAGGCTGACCATCCTTCATCCTAATTAAATACACAATATTAAAACAGCTACGAGCGGATGGGAAACATTTTAGATTTTTCGCCAGATTCACTTATAAATATAATATGACGTAAAAAATTTCTGAACAAGTATTGTTAGAAGCAATAAAGCAGTTACGATGTTGCATTATAGCGTCACAGTGTCCACCGTTTAATGTGATTGTATCGGTAAAGTATTGATTCCAATTAACGGCTGGATCAACGGATCGAATATCTGCATTGCACTAAAAATGAGAAAATATCTCAATTTTTTAGAGGATTATAAGTATGGGCATACAATAGGACTCATTGAAGAAAAAAATTACATAATTTTAAAAAGTTTAATTTTTAAATAGAAATCCTAATTAAACTAAGGGAAATTATTTTAATTCCAGATTTTATTTTATTATGATTAAAGTTACTCAAAATCACTTCTCTTCATTGATGCCTTTAAATGATAGAAAAATGAAAGAAAACTTTAGATGTTTACCAGAAAACTAAAAGATCAAGCAAGTTTTGTTTTGTTAGGAAGAAAATAACTCCTTCCCTCAAAGACCTGCACCAGACGTTTCCCCATTTTAACAACTCTCACATTAAATTTCTCTAAAAGAGGAATGAAAAATAATTAACAATTTCAGTGAACGAGAAAAAGAATTTTTTTTTCCAATGCCCACCAGCATATTGAAGTTTGTCATTTTGGGTATCAGAAGGGCAGATTTGTTACCCACGCTCTCAGGGGTACCTTATTAGGTAGGCCAAAGTTGCCCCCACAGTTAAAAGGATAGTACAGAGAAGTAAAGAACATTCATGCCATATCTGGAATTCGAATCCGGGACCTTTCGGTCAGCTCCCTGACCACCATACACACGATTGGCAGAAAACGAATCTGGAATTGTTACATGGCACTTAGAAAAGGACGATTTTTAAGAAAACTGGTGCGAACCATTGCCTCTGGGCATTTCTGACCCTTCCAACTCAAACGCTGTATTGCAGTTATGGTAAATTTCAATGAGTTATAACTTGGTAGTTTTTATTCCAATATCCATGTTTAGAGACTGTAGAAATGGTATTGTTATCACATATAAGTGATTAAATTTTTGGAAATTTGTTAACACTAGGTTTACGGGACTCGTCATTTTGACGTATTTCGAGTTTTGTAAGGAAAATTATAAAACCCATTTGAATTTTTATTTTAACTCTTGTAATGACTTTTATCCATTGATCGTAGTAAATATATATCGAAGGCTATTTTCTTCAAAAGCGTTGAAATATTGAAATTCTCTATGTGGTATACCTATCTCTAAGGATATGCGTCAATTTGACGCGATCATAATTTAGACAAAATTTTGAGTAAACAAGCAATTATCACATCAATAATAAATAAGAATGTACCGACAATACTTCGATTCGTTATCTCAATTAAAACAAGCTATAAACAACTGTTGCCGATAAGCAATAATAGAAAGAACAAGCACAGAATGTCAATTGATGNGCAGTTTTCACATGCTTTCCATCTATCGCCAAAGGCTGACCATCCTTCATCCTAATGAAATACACAATATTAAAACAGCTACGAGCGGATGGGAAACATTTTAGATTTTTCGTCAGATGTACTTATAAATATAATATGACATAAAAAAATTCTAAGCAAATATTGTTAAAAGCAATAAAGCAGTTACGATATTGCATTATAGCGTCACAGTGTCCATCCGATTTAATGTAATTGTATCGGTAAAGTTTTGATTCCAATTAACGGCTGGCTCAACGGATCGAATATCTGCATTGCACTAAAAATGAGAAAATATCTCAATTTTTCAGAGGATTATAAGTATAGGCATACAATAGGACTCATTGAAGAAAAAAATCACATAATTTTAAAAAGTTTAATTTTTAAATAGAAATCCTAATTAAACTAAGGGAAATTATTTTAATTCCAGATTTTATTTTATTATGATTAAAGTTACTCAAAATCACTTCTCTTCATTGATGTATTTAAGTGATAGGAAAAATGAAAGAAAACTTTAGATGTTTACCAGAAAACTAAACGATTAAGCACGCTTAGTTTTTTTAGGAGGAAAATAACTCCTTCCCACGCATACCTGCACCAGACGTTTCCCCATTTTAACAAATCCCAAATTAAATTTCTCTAAAAGAGGGATGAAAAATAATTAACAATTTCACTGAATGAGAAAAAGAATTTTTTTTTCCAATGCCCACCCGCATATTGAAGTTTGTCATTTGGGTATCAGAAGGGCAGATTTGTTGGCCACGCTCTCAGGGGTACCTTATTAGGTAGGCCAAAGTTGCTCCCACAGTCAAAAGGATAGTACAGAGAAGTAAAGTAAGGAACATTCATGCCATATTTGGAATTCGAATCCGGGACCTTTCGGATTTGAGGCCAGCTCCCTGACCACCATACAGACGATTGGCAGAAAACGAATCTGGAATTGTTACGTGGCACTTAGAAAAGAACGATTTCTAAGAAAGCAGGTGCGAAACATTGCCTCTGGGCATTTCTGACCCTCCCAACTCAAACGCTGTATCGCAGTTATGGTAAATTTCAATGAGTTGTAACTTGGTAGTTTTTATTCCAATATCCATGTTTGGTGACTGCAGAAATAGTATTGTTATCACATATAAGTGATTAAATTTTTGGAAATTTGTCTAAAATAAGCTGCTTGTGATTAACATTCATTAACCAGTGAGTTTACAATCTGACTGGCACCGTATCTATTAAATATTGTGTATTTATAGTATAGTTAACATAAATCAAAATTTTCATACAGTATATTTTTTAAATCATTTGAAATCATTGGTTCGTTGATGCGAGCATAATTTCATCTTAAAATATAATAATAATTACATATTCATTCACTCATAAGAATAGTTTTCTATTCTGCACCGGAAAAATTTATAGAGACATAAGAATTTTTTTTTAGTTCATTAACAAAAATTGTTGGCTTAATCTAAGTTAACTACATTAGCTTGAAGGTTATGATACTAAAGGGCAGTGACATCTATTATTTTTATTGTAAACTAGCGATTTACAGTGAACGATTAATCTGCATTTTTAGGTATGTAAATTCCTAAGCATCTCAAAGTTTGAAAAATATTTTGCTTAGAAAATAATCCTCAAAAGCACACAATATTTTAAATCTACCTTTTCTGAAGCTGGAAGTCAAGTTAAAAAAAGCGTTTTTTTACTATTAAATGAGTTTTAATATTTTCAAGAAACATTACAGGATGTAAAAAATTTACAGATTGCCAATGAGAAACAAAAATATAACTTAAAAGTTTAAATAAAATTCTATTTTTATGAAAAAAAGTTTCTAATTTTTTTAAGGTATTTTATTGTGTACATTTGAAGATTAAATTTAAAAAGAAAAAAGAATAAAATTTGGAGCAATACAGAAAAGACATAAATATTCTATTGCTACATCAAATATATTAGTATGCTTGATATCTATTATCACAGTACCTTTTACCTATTAATATAATTTATTAATCGCCACTGTCATCAAAAATAGTTTGGTAATTTTTTAAGGCCCTGGAATAGAATAATACTTAAAATTTAAATAGTTTTAAATACCATGTAGAGATAGGGTCAGGTTGACCCTCAAATTTAACATTCAGGCGAAGAGCAGCACCTTCTTCCGCTTCCACATCTTCAAGAGTCTTTGTAAAGAGTGGGCCAGCTGAAAGTTGTTAAACGAAATATAAATACATAGGAAGTTTTAAATACCTAAATATTTTAAATAGCCTGATTGACAGGACGTTGGACTTGTGTTCCCGTGAACGGGATTTCGAATCCCGCATCCGAAAAAGTCCTGCGTATTAACCCTTTCGAAGGCCGTGTTAAGTATACTTACCACCAATTTTTGAAGCCCATGATGAACTTTTTTACCACTTTTAATTTAGGTTTCCATTTGTTTATAAGTTCAGCTTTCTTGACGTGCGTTTGAATAAAATTTGTAGTTTAAGAAAACGTATAAAAGTATAAGTTTGTAGCATTTATAAAATTTATTTCATAAATAACGAAAAATAAAAGTCAATAAGTTCCTAATAGGCCGTGGTAAATATAGTTACCACCAAAAAAATGGCATTAAAATTTGGATTTTTTTTAATAAACTAAGTGAGTTTTTTTCCTTATATCAATTACTATTCTTATATCAATTTCAATTCCCAAAATACTTTAATTTACATTTAGTAGAAATAAGTGGCCCATTAAAGGGTTAAATGGTGATTGGTGCACGTTACATTTGTCAGGTTACTAAATTCTCCACGTTTCCATAACAAATCAATGTCCTGGGATTACTCAATTGGAGATTGATCATTCTCTGGTGTAGGTCGAAATTACGATCTGTGGATGAATGAATGGATCCACCCTGCAAAATGGGCTGTGACGTGCGTGTGTCTGAAATTGTATTCTTGGCCATAGATGGCGCGACTGAAAACAAGAAACGTAGCCTTTGCATTTATTTTGCTTGATTTCCCTAGCAGGCTTTCTGATATTGACAAGTAGGCAATAGAAACAGCAACATATTTTAAATATTCGTAATAATGAAGTATTATTAAAGGTTATGAAAAAATTTATTTAATTAGTGAAACTTAAAAACCACATAATCATCTTATGAATGACTTACTTAACGAAAGTTTTAACTGATGATGATCATGATTCATTGATGATTGATTTGATGATAATTCTTCATTGATTTTACTCACTTTTTAAAAAAAAAATTCGAAATCTTCTGTAATTTAGTTAACATGGTTTTTCGAAGATATGTCGCCAAGGAAAATAAAAAAGGCGCAGTTTAAGTGTCTTACATTCGAAGCAAAGCGATAATTTTAAACTTCAAATATCATCTTGCCGTGAAGAATTATATGTACTTTAGAACGGATAAATAAACTTAATATTTCAGGGTTCCCGCTGTCCTTGAAAAGTTTTAGCAGTGGCAGTAAATTTAGTTCAATGCTAGAAGATATTTCTTATTTTAATATGCCACTTTATCTTTAAGTGGCACAGAAAGGGAAATTTTCATGTATATGGACTTTATTTGGATAAGAATTTTTAGTTGTAGTTGCACAGAAATTAAAATATCAACATTCTTTTCCGCATTTTAAAATTTGCAAGTATTTGAAAAGTTATTAAACTTTTTTTTAAAAAATTGACAATTTGGGGCTATTTAGTATTTCTTGAGAAATCGAATTTTAAGTATACGACTATTTCAAAACGTAAAGATCTGAACATTAGATTAAAAGTTATTCAGGTGGTCCATTTATTTTTTGCGCACTGTACACCAAAGTGGAGAAAATACTTTTTACTTACAGCATACTTTTAGCTTTCCACTGCTAGACTGTGAGCCTGAAGGATTTGAGATAGTACAGGCATATTTTCCAGAATCATCTTTGGTGACATCATGAATAATTAAAGTAAGGGATGCTCCGTCTTCTTCGACTTTTAATTCAGTATGGGTGTTGTCTATTGTTAGTTCGGCATTATCAAATGCCCTGTAACAAAAAATATCAATCCATAAAAGGTAGGAAAATAAGTCACAAGAAAGGCTTGCAAGAAATACTAATTAATAAATTTAGCATACTATGTTAGAGATAAGATAAAATTTATGACAACAATCCTGTATTTTTATTTAGTTTATCAAAAGAAATTGATTATTATTTGAAATACAAGAATTTAAAACAAAAGCATCTTGTTTAGACGTAGTATATAAAGTAAACAGTTTAATATTAGTATGCAAGTGCTTCTTTTTTTTCTCGTTAAAAATGAAACTTTACTAAATGTGATATTGTTCATCACAATTTCTCCCCCTCTACCTCCTTTGTTTTAACCAATACTCACTTCAGCATTTTTATTTTGTTAACGTCTATTTTAATTCCTAAAGTTTATCTCACTGTGTAAGCTATAAGATAATTAATTCATCTTGATATCTTCGAATTTATGCTTTAAATGCCTCCACAATTTTCTAGATGTGAACGGACCGAAATGTTTGTAATAAAGGAATGTTCCGGTAAATTCCTTCCAGAATTTTCTTAAGCTTATCTTTAAATAAAAGAGGGATTTATCTTTGAGATATAGAGAAATAGTTATAAGAATAGATTATAACTTTTATGCACTAGTTATTTGCGAATGAAGCTATAAAGGATATATATAGCTCAATAAACACAAAAAGGATTTTAAAAAAATGAGAGAAAAACGAAGAAAATTAATAGATTTTTTTAACTGCGCATAAGCTGCAAGTATATAGAACTCATAAAATAAGTTTAAATATTGAAAAAACATGGAAAATAATAAGGATTAAAGAAAAGAGAAAATTTATTATAATAAAACTATTAAAAATTAATTTATAAATTTTTTTTGAAAAATATTTTCTGACTGCTCCTTACACTATTGTATTGATATATTTTGCTTCGGCTACATTGATTCAATATTAGAAATCACTCTTTTTTGCGGATATAATCGTGTGAGCTGATGAAGAGATTATATCTTGTTTTTCATTATTTAGTTTTTTTTTCCAGATATATAAATACATTTTTATACGTTTTTTTTTAATAGTTTCATTTTAATAATTTTTCTTCTTCTCTTATCTTTAATCTTTATTATTTTCCTGATTTCCAATANGAGCTTGACTGGCCATCCCAAAGTCCCGACATCAATCCAATTGAGCATCTCTGGGATGAGTTGAAGTGCCGGTTCAGGGCCAGACCACAATGCCCCAAAACCACCACTCAACTCTTCGCCATGTTACAGGAGGAATAGCGGGCAATACCTGCCGCCGTGTACCAACACCTAGTGGATAGCCTTCCTAGAAGGGTTAAAGCTGTGATTTGGGCGCGTGGCGGCACTACGCCCAATTGACTTGATACTAGCACCTCATGTATCCGAAATGAGGGGTATCCGGTCATTAATGGCCAGATAGTGTATATAGTTCAATAAACACAAAAAGGATTTTTAAAAAAATGAGAGAAAAGCGAAGAAAATTAATAGGTTTTTTTTAACTGCGCATAAGCTGCAAGTATATAGAACTCATAAAATAAGTTTAAATATTGAGAAAACATGGAAAATAATAAAGATTAAAGAAAAGAGAAAATTTATTAAAATAAAACTATTAAAAATAAATTTATAAATTTTTTTTGAAAAATATTTTTTGACTGCTCCTTACATTATTGTATTGATATATTTTGCTTCGGCTATATTGATTCAATATTAGAAAGCACTCTTTTTTGCGGATGTAATCGTGTGAGCTGATGAAGAGATTATATCTTGTTTTTCATTATTTCGTTTTTTTCAGATATGTAAATACATTTTTATACGTTTTTTTAATAGTTTCATTTTAATAATTTTTCTTCTTCTCTTATCTTTAATCTTTATTATTTTCCATGTTTTCTCAGTATTTAAACTCAATATTTAAACTCCCAATATTTAAAGAGGCAGAGTGCTGTCTTCTACATAAAGAGTTAAATATATTTATAGCGTTAAAGGATAATATAAAAATATAAATTATAGAAGTTTTTTTATAACTTACAGAGTTGCCTATCAAATCAATAAAATTATTTGTACCTACAATTGTTTTTCAATTATCTTTTTCATGCCTTTTGGAATTAAAATTGATTAAAAGTTCGCAGTTCTGTAATTATTTTCCATTTGCCTCCAATCTCATATTCAAGCAAGCAAAAGGCAATACAAACGGCCTTCTCTTAAAGTTACATGTATTACATTAACGTTTTGTCTTAATTATAAATAAAATTTAACTTAATTAATCAAAATGATCTATCTAACGATTAAATAGTATATGAAATGTTCCAAATCCTATCTGAAAAAAAAAATAAGTATTTTTAATCAAACAGTTATGTGACTGATAAGGTAGAAATATATCGCTTTCATTTTAAAAATTATTTTTCTTCGTATTCAGTCATAAAATTGCTGATAGCCAGAGATTGTTTAAAAATAACTAATCATCATTAAAAGCTCAATATTAAATAATTAGTATTATGTAACGAATTAAATTAAAATCGTTTGTATAATACTAATTTATGAAAGTTTTACTCTAAAGTTTTACTCTCATTTTTACGTATTTCACATTTAAAAATTTTATACACCGTTACCACGATATGTAAATGATTCAAAAGTTCATAAAAATACTCTAGTTTATACTTTGCTCTAGATAATTCGCGGTGTATCTTTCAAAATTTTTGCAAAATTTCCGAAAACTCTGAAAACTTTAGTGTTTCATTCTACCAATCAATAAAATATTTTCAAAAACGTACGATTGGTCAAACCTGAATTTGTTACATTTAATGTTTGATTGACAAAATTTGTTGCTTTTAACGAAACTTTTCTGAAAGTATAAATTATAACGGACTTTTAATTCAACTGCTAAATTTGAACTCACCATTTTGCAGTGGGGCATGGTTTTCCAGTGAACTTAACAGTGAATTCTGCTGTACCTCCTTCTTTAACATCGATATCTTTAAGTTTTTGTGTAAACTCTGGAGATGAAGTAGATTCTAGAACACAAAAATTGGTTTTCATGATATAACCGCATTTCTCAGTTCAATGAATCGTAGATCATGTCATGAAGTTTCAGTTCTAAGGATACTAGACAAAAAATTTTGCACGAAAAACAGGAAAAATTCTTAAAATGGTGGCAGACAAACACAGCTACAAAACCAGCTTTTTTTTTGTTACAACACAGTAACAAAAACAGCTTTTTGGTGTCCGAAAGCATTGACGAATATGAACACGGAAAAATGGAGAGACATTTATTGCAAAGTTATAATAATATTGATTTAAAATAACATTTGAACGTTTTCCTGGATTCAATAGCTGCGCATCCTATTAAAAGTCATTAAAATAAGAAAAACATTAGAATTACCATCTGGCGATTGCTGCAATTTCGTCAATCATGATTATGATTCGTAGATCATGCAATTTGCAGCCCTAAATGCAACTCTCTGTAACTCTCATACTTTGTTATTTACAAATCAATCTCTGTTACTCGCCACCCCTAAATTTTCGGTAGCCAATGGCGAGTGGAAATTTCGCGTCCCGACGTATATAATGCAAAACATTAACACGTTCACGCCGGGAAAAGTGGAACCGGTGCGCTGCCAAGATGAGACAATCTAGCGTGACCCACCGGTGGGTCATCCCGGCATGAACGTGCTATTCAAACATATTTAAAAGATTAAGCTATGGTAATAAAAAATTTTAATAATAAATAATTGACATCCCCAAATATGCCATTTTATTCATATATTTTTTTAATGAAGCTTTTGTTGAATTTGAAATCTAAAGCTCAACGGAAACTTTTTAAATTTAAACTTTTTTAGGGGTTAATAAGTGCTATTCTCTAAAAATATTTTTACCTTGTATAACAGCATGCACTCTTTTAATAGAACTTACAGCAAACGTTCAAAGCTTGTTCAGAAGAAAAAAACGTGTTAACTTTCGTCCTGATAACACTGTGTAAATTTAAAAAAGTTACAATAAATGTTTGCAGGCATGCATATCCTACAATTAAAATGGAATATCTGTGATATCAGAAAATAATTTTCCTAGTGGAAACACTGGTAATGCTCCTAGTGGAAGTATTTAAAGAAAATAGAAATGAAAGAATTTTGACCATGGTTGCATAAAACCTATGGCTAGATTCTTAAGTTTTGATGAAATTTTCTTAAAAATTCTAACTGTCTTAAAAATTTCTAAATTAGTTTATAACATTCGAAATTATCTTATATGTATCCTATATATTTAGCAAAAATAAATAAAATATATAGTTTGTTCATTTTGTAAGCACCTTATTGTCTAATTTTTTAGTTTTTGCAAAAGCTAGACATAATAAAATATTTTGAGTATTTTTTTTTCAAAAACGTTTCAAAAACATTGCTTTGCGTCATACCATTCTTTCACAATTTAATTCTTCAATTTTTGTATGTAATGAAGTTCAAAATTACCTGACACAGTCAGTTTGCTCGATGTTGTATCCGATCCTTCGGAGTTGGTGATGACACAAGTGTATTTTCCAGTATCATCCAACTTCGCATCTTTAATGATAATTGTAAGAGAATCTTCTGCTTCTTCTAATGATTGAATATGTTGACCATCAATCACCAACTCAGCATCATCTTTGGTCCTGTAATAAAAAAATCAGTACATTTCTATTTATTTTATTTATCTTACATAATTATTATTGCATTATTTCTTAGTTACAAGTATTATATTTATCTTACATAGTTAAAATAATGTAACACCTATTAAAATACCATAAATAATAAAAATATATATGCACTTTGCATCACTCTTATACTATCAAACGATATTTAAATCTTGTACTATCAGATGATTCCATACTGTAAAAACAACCAATACTAATATTTGCTAAACGGCAATAAGGCTAATAATGCAGATTAAATTTCGTTTTCGAGACGAATTTAACATAGTTTTAATGGAATTAAAAAAAATAGCTATAATGCAATATAATGTATACCTTTCCAAGTAATTTTAAAATACTAAAATCCTAATATAAGTTTTAGTTTGTACTTGCATAGCTGCCAACCTGTACAATTATTTAATGAAAAATTTCTTTGCGGTTCGATTGCTGAGTAACTCAAACAAGCGTGAACAGGAGATATTAGTATGCTTTTAAGTTTTAGTGTTGTATCTTTATGTAAAGACAATTATTTCAACTTCAGTTATTATTTCACTGTTATTTTCTACAATCTTTCTAAAAAACCACAGTCACAATTAAACTGCAGAAATACATCAACAGAATTACCATTTGGCTGTTGGCTTGGGCTTCCCAGAAATCTTTACGTTAAATTTCACAGTTTGTTCTTCCTTAACATTTTGGTCTTTCAAGCCTTTTACAAATTTCGCTGCACTAGTTGTTTCTGTAACACACAGACTTCAGTTAATTGATTTGAATTGATGAATCAATGAATCAATTTTGATTGATATTTTAAGCAATACCTTACCTTTAACGGTAACCTCAGAAGTAGTAGTTTCTGAACCAGCAGAGTTGGTAATTGTGCAAGAATATTTTCCTCCATCTTCCTTGGAGACATCGTTTATGGTAAGAGTTTCGGTGTTATCCTCAGTAGAAATTTCATAATGATCATTGTCAATTGTGATTTCCTTATCATCTTTCTTCCTAAACACAAACTTATGTTATTAAAAAAAATCATCAATCTATTCTTGTTGTTATTAGTCTGTCTTGCCTAAAGCGGGTGAGGGGATTTTAAATCTGCAATTGGTTTTTCTTTTAAAGCTATACATTTTTAATAACATTTTTAGTCCTCTTTTTAATGAAATGTGGAAGTTCCAAAACGATATACACAACAGGGGGTCGCGTAAGTGTTGCAAGAAACTTGTAATGAATTTATGGTACATCATCAGGATTAAAATTGCATAGAAATGCGTGCTCGAAAAGCCCCTTCGTATTATGACCTATTTGAAAGCACACGAAGAAACAGTCCATAATATTAAAGCACCCCTAGCGGTGTACGATGACATTTCCATTCATGGGTTCTTATGTAATTTAATTCCTGATAATGTGCCTTAACTTCCCTACAAATTCGTTCCAACATTTGTGTGATCCCCTGTTACGTATAACCTTTTTCATTTTTAAACATTTTGACAAAAAATCGGGGGGAAAATGTCATTTATACCAAAACTGTAACTTGGAGAGAAGAACCAATACCAGATTTAAAATCAGCGATACGAAAGTAACTAAACCTTTATAAAAAATCTCATGTAAAAGATATCAGATAAAGAAAAATTCCAATTTAATATATTATGAGCGGCATTTTTGGCAGAATTTTTTTTTTANAACGCCAAAATAATCACTTATTTCGAATAGTTAATCAATATTTAAATATAGTAATAATAGTATGTGGATTGTAAATTTAGTTATACATAATTTGAGCGAAATCGATTGAATAATTGACGAAAAATCTAATTTTAAATGTCTGAACTTTTAAAATTCGATAACTATTCAACTGAACCATACGATTAACCATTCTCCGTAACTACTTGATCGATTTCGTTCAAATTTTGTATTTTGTCACGTAAAATTACACTCTTTAGAATGATATAAAAATTTCATACCTCACATCTCGAAATTTTTTCGACTATTATTTAAAAAAATATTAAAATTAAAAATACTTATTAAAAGTTATTTATTGCATGGAATTACCTTTGGAGAAACAAATTTTATGATTGCGAGCAAAAATTTTACAATGCGCTCAAAAATTTCTGGATATATGGCGAAAAATGCAATAAGTAAAATTAACATTAACGGTTCCTCACTTTGGACTGCTTTCCTAACCAAACTAAGGAGACCATATTTCCCAGATTGCGGCAACCGCCTATATTTTGTGATTCAGAAATCTGAATCCTTCGAAAAAAAGGTATGTTTATTCAAATAAAGTACGTTTTTGTGTCTGATTTTGTAACTTAAAATATCATCTGCACCAATTAATTGCATATACTCGAACAATTAAGATTAAATTCTAGAATGGGAAGATCCAATCATTCAATCAAAAGTTATTCAGGGGGTGGTCCGTTTTTTTTTTTGCCCGAGCTGTACAATATTAAAATAATAATAATTACATTATTTGTACTTATAAGGGTAGTAGTCCTCAAAGAAATAGAAAACCAATCCTCTGACATTTTATACAATAGTGAAAATAAATACTTAAAATGTTATTTCTTCTTCAATAATTTTCGAAAATTAAATTAAAGAGTTTAATGCAGAAACGACGCAGTTCTATTTGTAGAGTACTTAAAAAATTAATGATGTCGGTATTAACATGTAAAGCTTTTATACAAACTATATATAATCTACTCATTATCTGCTAACACTTTTCTGTATTCTTTCTGGCGCAGTGTTGGCAGTTTGGCCACACTTAATCAGAAAATGTTAGACACCATTAAAAATATAAAACTATTTGCGGAAACGTTCAATTTTTAGCAACTATTATTGTATTCTGTAACCCCTTAACGCAAGATTTTTTGAAAAAAACCGGCCAAAAAAAAATCAATTTTTTTAATGTAAAAAAATACACTTTAGAACATTGTCTTTTCTTTTGGTGGACAATTTTGATATATTGCGCTTTCGTTCCATGGAAAAAGGCTATTTTATTCTTGAAAAAATAAGTGTTATAGCTTACAATCCTATGTAAATGATAAATATCAATAAAACGATTTTTTTTCTTAGCTTTCACATTGTTATTTTCAATTCTCGATTATATTCGAGTGTGAAAAATTGTAGCAGCATTAAATACAACGCCGCTCGAATTATCTCGAGTATGCACAATTTGGCCTGTTTAGCGCGCTCGAATTCACTCCCGCGCACAAGTTAAGGGGTTAAGCAAAATGATCAAGTATGCTTTTTAAAAAAGAACACATTGAATATGGTAGCGGTTTTTAATGTGTCGCTACCTAAAATTTGCTGCCGAAACTTACTGTTCCGTTAATATAGTAGAGTATCCTTTTTTTATTAATCAACCCATTTCTTACTGAGAATGCCTAAATACAAAATTTTGACCGACGAGAAAATAGCCTTTAATAAAAGAATGGTAGCACATTTATACTCATCCGAAGTGTTTACTTCTATTATTAGCTACCGACTCTCTTAAGCTTTAACAAATCGCATTTAGTTAAACTTAGATGAGTAAGAAAATTTTATGTTAATAATATATGATGAAAACACGAACGTTTTCATTCAGTAAAATAGGTGGCATGTATTCATGGATTCAGTAAAATAGATGGTTTCAATGGCATGATTAATCCGGTGTCGATCATATATTTCACAAAAATTCATTGCTTCATTTTGGCGCACTTGTCTTCCAGTTCTTAATTTCGAATATTTTAAGGTCTTGTTCACGGCAATCATAGTTTTGGTCTTCATTACTGCCCTTTTCTGGCCTGCTCGATCCCTGGATTTGTCACCGAACGAGTATATCTGGGACCATTTGCGACAGCAAGTTGGCCAGCCTATGAGTTTAGTTTAGCTGTGTTTTTACAGCAACTGTGGATTGTTGTTGTTAATTTACGTCGCACTAGAGCTGCACAATGGGCTATTGGCGACGGTCTGGGAAACATCCCGGAGGATGATCCGAAGACATGCCATCACAATTTTGACCCTCTGTGGAGGGGATGGCACCCCCGCTTCGGTAGCCCGACTACCTGCGCGCGAAGTCGAGCACTTTACGGTAGCACAGTTTAACGAGGACCAATACCGCACACCCTCGGTCCCTACGCAGACTGATCCAAGTGGTCACCCACCCGCACACTGACCGTAGCCAGTGATGCTTGACTTCGGTGATCTGCTGGGAACCGTGTCTTAACGATCAGTCCACTGCGGGACCAGCAACTGTGGAAGGAGATGCCACAAGGACATCATAAGTAACTTATATGCCTCACTGCCAAACCGTATCTCATCTTCCATTTATGCTAGAGGGAGCCTAAACCTCCATTCACTTGTATTTTTTCCTGCAATAAATGATAATTTTGCTTTGATTTTTAATCACCTACTCTTATCAATGTTGTACTCACTTACGTAAAATTTCGTTTCATTCTGTAGCTCTTTCTAGATGCGCTAATTTTTATGGTGATGAGTATAAAATGAAGAATTGATCTGGTTATGTACACGTGGGTTTCGGTACCAGTTTCTGGACAGACGAGGGAAATAACAGCTGAAGCATTGAATATAATTGTAGATTTTATTTATCCCTTTTTAAGAGGTGTATGAAGCTGAATGCTCAAAGTTCTAATTTTACCGCGAAACATTTGCTCACTGTAGACAACCATAACCACACCAAAAATTTATGTCAGCATACCCATTAAAAAACTGTGGCCAATAAAGGGTTCAGCTAACTTTAAAAACAGAAAATACAAAATTCATCACTATAACTGTTCACCAAAGATAAGTCTAAGTGCTGCAAAATATTTACTTGAAATAATTTTAAATTTTCTCTAAATGCACATCTCCTACAAGCAGTTGAAATGTGTATTTACAAATGGAATGTGAAATAGAGACATGGAAATGTTTAACATTAGAACATATATAAATTCGGCATCCATGCCACAAAGTTTAAATTCTGTTTTTAAATATTGAAACAAAACAAAACTATACATAAACACAACAAATAAACTTACAAGATTGAATAATTAAACTTACCAGAAACACTGAGATTGCTGCTAGTTTCCACAGTTCCCACTGCGTTAGAGATATTGCAAGTGTATTTCCCACTGTCACCTGGTTTTGCATTGTTAAGGACCAAAGTAAGAGAGTCTTCAGCTTCCTCCTTCTTGTATTCAAAGTGTTTATTATCTATTTTCAGCTCAACATCATCTTTTGACCTAAAATTAAATCTTGTTTGAATGTATATTATTTTTTTATTCGAGTACATTCTTCTTCTTCCGGAAATATTAAATTCTTATGTATTTTTGTGGTGAAAGGATTTAGTGTACAAGGAAATCTATCCTAAGAGGCACAACTACATTATTTTATTATGAATGATGTTATTTTAAAAAATGAAAGTAAAAAAAAGGTAGAATCTTAAGACTATGCCAAGTAAATATTTTCTGGTAACATGGTTAGCTCACGGTAGATGCCGACGGGAAGGTCTTGGGGCATTGCGACCTCTACGCAAGCGCAGAATTGATTTCTAACATTTATGCTTTTGAAAGAGCACGAAAAGTTTGGAGTAATACCGAAATTCAAGTAAGTTTATATCATTGTTCAAAGAATTATAACCTTCTAAAGTTAATCTTCCATCAAAATGGCAACTTCTATCGTTCTAGTGTTCAATAATTTTCCCGTTTTTTTCTGCAATGGCATCGGGGAGAATAACTATTACGTTGGAAACTTTTGACTTTCAAAAACTAACTCAAACTGGTTGAGTCCTGTTTTTTACATAAAATTCGCCATCTATTGATTGAAATTTAAAGGAAAACTTAGTCAAATTTCATTTTTTGACAGTTCATAAATCGTAAGTACTAAGTTTCATTGACATCCAAAACTGGAGAAGATTCTATGCTAGTTTCAGCAGAGAAACATTAATTTTTTCCACACTCTACACAAAAATGAAACCTACTTTTCTTTATATAACTTTAATATCTTCCTTTTACCCATAATACACTTTTCCCATGATTGCCTTATGAAAAATTGGCTGGTTTATAACTTAAACTAAGGCCGCAAACTTTATACATTTATTCAGATATTACTCCACTACCACTAAAAAAAGTCGTAAAAGCGCTTGAAGCCATGGTGAAAGAAATACAGTCAAACCCCGCTATAGTGAACCTTCAAGGGACCGAAATTTTGGTTCACTATAACCGGGAGTTCACTATATCCGTTATGCGGGCAATTTCACTAATGGTTCCCAAACTCCTCCCTTTTATTACACGTTATTCAAATAAATGACTGAAAAATATTACGTAGTAGCAAAAAATTTGTTTTTTTTTATTACTCTTCGTCCTGCGTACAAAAAAAATAATTAGTAATCTTTAGCTGTTGAGCATTCCTCAACATCAGATATGGAAACATTTCCCGACTCTCAGATAATTTTTCCTGAATTTCTGTTAGTCCACTTTTTAAACTTGTCTAATCTGCCATTCGAGCAAGCACATAAAAGTAATCTCATAAAATCGCTTAGCAAATTCATCGACATTTGTCCAGATACTGGAAGATTGCGGCTTCTTTGAATGCTGAACCACTTCAGTAATGCTTCTTCAACATCCTTGTGATCTGCTTTTCTCAACTTTTTTCTGCCATTTAAATTTTTTTCATGAGCAGAAGTTGTTAATTGCCTACTTTTCCATATGTTACGAACTGTAGATTTGGATAGTTTATATTCCCTGCAAATATCAGCTTGATTACATCCATTTTCAATTTTTCTGACTATGCCCATTTTATCATCAATGGAGAACATTTTGCGTTTACTGCTCGCCATAGTTAAATTTGAGACACTTGTTTGCAGGCTTTTTTTAACTGCACTGAGAGCAAAAAGGAGTTGAAATGAGGGCCTTATCAACACATATTAGTGTCCAACTCTTTGACCAATAATGAATAATTACTCATTCCCTCTGACAGAAAATGCATATTGATCCCACTGACACCTTACAGGTGCATCATCTGCCTGGATTGGAAACATCAACTTGATTTGTTTAGGGATGGGAAAGTAAGATAAAAGAAGCAAACAAGAAAAAAATGCTTATCGCTACCTTCTCCACTATAGATGGTTTTAAAAATCGGTACATGTATTTATTTTGAAGTAGAAATTTCGAAATTATTACAAAAAAATGAAGAAAAAAATCAGTCGAAGACAGAAAAAAGTTCATTATATCCAACTTCATCGCTTTTTTGGTTCATTATATCCACGAAAAATAACATTATACGGGTATAGCAAGGCACGGGACCGAACATTTCGTTCACTATATCCGGGAGTTCACTATAAACCATGTTCACTATAGCGGGGTTTGACTGTAGTTCTACCTGAGAAAGAGTAACAAGCCCCGAAAATTGAAAGGAAAAAAAAGGAGTATGAAACAAAGAAGAAAGGGAAAAAAAATTTTGAAAAAAGAATGTAAAAAAATTATAATGAAAAAATAATGAAAATTTTTAAATTTTAAAAAAAAGTAATTAAACTATTAATGCAGAAAAAACAACGATAACATGCAATCTTGTCTTCAGCTCATACGATTATGTGAATAAAAGAGTGCTTTCTAATATTCTATAAATATAACCAAAGCAAAATACATCAATACAATAGTGTGGATTGCCTCGTTTGGGCAAAAGCAAAAAATACCAATACAATTGTGTAACTAATGTATTTATGTATTTTGCTTTGGCTGTATTAATACAGCATTAAAAAGCACTGTTTTGCGGATATAATCGTGTGAGCCGAAGTCAAGATTATATTTTCTTGTTGTTTTATTTTCTGGATTCTTTTAAAAGTTTTAACAATATCTTTTACGCAAGAAGTAGTTGTGCCTCTCCGGAGGAGAAATATCGAAATCAGTTTACCAAAAGCAACATAATTGGTTGAGTACTTACCAGATAACTTTCGTCTTTTTGCCGGAAAATTTGACTGAAAACTCTACAGTTTCCCCTTCGGTTACAGATATATCCTCCAACTTCTTTGTAATGGAAGGAGCAGTTTCTTCTTCTGAAAATTAAATAGCTATTTTTCAAATTTTAGTTTTTGAAAAGGTAAAATAAAAATCATGAAATCAGATGATCTTAAATTTTAAACAATAATGTTATTTCAGTATACAATATGTTATTATCACGAGAAAACACAATACTTTCTATAAAAATAGTTTGATGATAATGTGCATTTTTCTTCCACTTGATGTGTTTTATTGATACAAACTGTAGGGAAGAATTTAATCAAATACGATATCACGTGATTGTAGGAAAGAGTTCAGTCAAGAGCTGTGTCACGTGGTTATAGGGAAGAATTTAGTTAAGAGCGATAGCACGTGATTGGAGGTAAGAATTTACTCAAGAGCGATACCACGCGATTGTAAGAAAGAATTTACTGAAGAGGGGTATCACATGATCGGCAACGAAAGTATTAAAAAAAGCTTAGGTAAACAAATGTATTATTAATATTCAAATCATTTTTTAATTTAAAAGTTTGCTACATGACTGCCTTTTCAGATATTTTAATGCAACACGGAAAAAAAACTGGTTAAACTTAGACACTGTTATTAATTGTCTTGTCTTTCAAGGTAAGGGGACAAATACAATTGTAGTAACAGTATTATGCAATATATTCCCTAATAGTCATAACTTATGTATATTTTTACAATTCTAGTCAAATTAAAGTCAGTGGCACGACAGCTCATGCTGGCTAATGCCTACTGTGCCCATCCCTGTATTCTTAACCTTAGGCTCCGAGGTGCAGACGCAGATGCTCCGGTTGAGTGGTGAGCCGTAGGTGGAACCTCTAGTGTTTTGCAACCCCAAGCACGTTTGGTACTCATTTTATCGATCCACTGCGGGGATGAAAGGCTGAGTTAACCCTACCAGTTCGAGGATAAAACCCCGAACTTGTGGCATAGAATCGAGAAGCACTACCATTCAGTCACGGGGTGTCAAAAGTCAAATTCCATTCTAGTCAAAGTTTTAGTCAAAAACTATACACATTGGAAAGTAGTTTTCAGACAGGAAAACAAAAACAACAAAGCTGCCTAATGTACCGTAAGTAGAATTAAGTAAAAACAATAAAATCAATTTAATCTCCATTTGAGAGTGTTTTGTATATCTTTCAGAGATGCTAACTTGATCCTGAAAGCTAATGTATGTTTTCGAGTGATAGTCTTTTAATGTATGATTCTTGGTTAAGTAAATACGCCTTATAGGGTATTTACTCGCCACTACTTCTAAATAATTCAACGGCTTATATAATACGCCACTTTGGTACCTTAACCCTTTCGCGCCGACTGTCACAAATAGGTGCCGGCATAAAACAGTATCAATAAGGGTAAAAAGATAAAACTGGTAACTAAAGTAGTTCTTTAGGAGTTTATTTGTGGGTGGGGTTATAATTGTTTGATTTATTTAATTCACCATTACTTTGTTCAAAATAAAACCATTTAGTTATACTTTGAATTAACATTGATTATATAAATGATTAAACTAGCAATAATTAAAGTAAAAGCAAAGTAAGTCTGTCAAATTAGAAACGACTACATTTAAGTTACCGTTTTTAATCTAATTACGTCCTGATCCTGATTTTGTACGAATGCTTTTCTATATCACCCGTCCCCAAGGGGTTAAAGGTGATGAGTCTCTAAAAAAAGTTGCCAAATCAAAAAAAAAAAAATTGCCTATTTCAGTTAAGTTCTTAACCGTTTTTTTTTTCAATATTTTGTCGAATGCGGAGCAGTTGGCGTCTTTGATGTCTCCCTGACGTAATTTCTTGAATCTAAGATGTCATTTACTAAAACGAAAAACTCTTTACTACGCCATTTCCAAATTTACTCATTCATTTTTTTTATTAGTTTAAAATTAGAATATTTCCTGTTTTTATAAATTATCTTTGTCAAAAAAAAGGCATTGAAAGTAATTCATAACTACTTATCTTTTCGCATTTTTCTTTATCTATCGACTTAATTTTATTCCACGATGCATGCGTGGTTTCACAACAAAAATAAGAGCACATTTGCTTTAAACTAATTGATTGCTATTTCCTATAACATTAATTTCATAAAAGTCGCTTTGAACACATACCAGCCAACTACTACTAAATTTCCGTATCAGCAGAGAATACTTTTCCTTGCGGTAGCAATTGTATTCTATTAATAATTTAAATAAAAAAGAATGAAAATTTTTTTTCCTTATTTACACATAAATAAAACTAAAGAACAAATATTTTTCGGTTGTCCAAGTTTTTTGAACGGTTCTTAGGTACTTTTGCGTTGCTGATTTCAAACCTGCAATCGCTTTCTCTCTACTGGCCAGGAGTGAAAGCGAGACGGAAAACAGGAAAGCCTGGTAGTTAAACCATTTCAATTATAGCTATTTTTCGGGAGGAGTTTACTTATTCCTTTTTTAAACTATTCAACAATATCTACTTTATCTTGGAAAAGAAGCAGTTTTTTATTTATGCTGAAAGAGAAATCTTGATAGTTACAAACATTTTATTCTTCTCAAAAAAAATTATAGAATGAAATGCCTTACGTACCAGTAGATGCTCTTTTCCGTCTTGCTATATAAGAGCTTTCAGCCATGCTACTGGCCACATTTTAATGAATGCGCATGCGCCGTATCTTAGTACATATGATGCTTAGCTAAACCTGAGTAGGTTTTCTGGTATAGCATACCACACCGAGCAGTTCTCTACGTTAGTTACGTATTCGAAGAGCAGGATTTCTCATTCTTACATTTTTCGCCACAGTGTTCAAAGTGGTAGCAGAATAACACTTAGAATAAGGTCAATTTGCCTAACACGTTCACGCCGGGAAAAGAGAAAATACTGGTAGAAGAACTATTTCAATATTAGATAATATTCGGGGAAGTTAATCTATTCTCAACAATGACAATTCACTGTAAGTAAATTAAAGTTTTTACTCTGGTTTTACTCAGTTTTTACTCCGGTCAGCTGCCAAGATGAGACAATCTAGCTTGACCCACCGGTGGGTCACCCCGGCGTGAACGTGTTAAATTTATCACGAATTAAAAATTTGATTACTCTCTCAAAAATAAAACACTTTTGAAGATTTAGCAATCTTTGAGCTGTTTTTCATTAATTTGGAGAATCATTTCGTCACGTAATTTGTGACAAAACGCAAACACTAAAATATATGACGAAAATGTTTCCTTGACTCGCAATTTCATCACAGGGCATTGTGAAAGATTATTAACTTGAATGATTAACAATAGTTTGTCTAAAATAAGAACTCCCCCAGGCATTCCTCTGAACTTGTGGTAGTGACTATGGTAACGAGGTATGACTATTTCAAGTAGGAGTGCGGGGTCACTGGTTTGGGGTGGTTTCGGCTCGGATCGGCGAGAGAAAGGGAATCTCTTTCTTCGGTCTATTGTGTTAGTCCTAGAGTGAAGCTATCCTCCCTAAAATGCGCCATTCTTGTTTCCATAGCACCAAACTGCCTCAGACTGTGTGGCGGGAGGAGTTCTTAGCTTAGACAAACTATATCTAGATGACTAGAGGATCGAAAATAAAGTCGTGACTTAAGACGACAGTGTGTATGGTGGTCATGAAGTTTGCCTCTAATAAAGAAGATTTCGGGTTCAAATCCCGCTTAGGACATATGTTGTTATATCTCTCTTCTATCTGTTCTTGTGTTGTTTGGGTGATATTGATCCATCTATGTGGTGCCCACGATAAATTGATTATAAAGGTTATATGCAATAGGCCAGGGATGGCGAACCAATAGCACGCGTGCCATTTATGGCACGCGACACGATATTTTGGGCACTCCACCGATCACAATTGTTGTTACCCTATGAATTGTTATTACACAAATGTTATTACGCTATGAAGCATATGTAACAATTAAATTAAAATTCACAAAGAACAAACAAAATAATAAACAATTATTAATAAAAAAATTAAAAATTAATACTAAAAAAATAATTAATAACCGTAAAAAACAAGCTAACNATTCTAGTCAAAGTTTTAGTCAAAAACTATACACATTGGAAAGTAGTTTTCAGACAGGAAAACAAAAACAACAAAGCTGCCTAATGTACCGTAAGTAGAATTAAGTAAAAACAATAAAATCAATTTAATCTCCATTTGAGAGTGTTTTGTATATCTTTCAGAGATGCTAACTTGATCCTGAAAGCTAATGTATGTTTTCGAGTGATAGTCTTTTAATGTATGATTCTTGGTTAAGTAAATACGCCTTATAGGGTATTTACTCGCCACTACTTCTAAATAATTCAACGGCTTATATAATACGCCACTTTGGTACCTTAACCCTTTCGCGCCGACTGTCACAAATACGTGCCAACATAAAACCGTATCAATAAGGGTAAAAAGATAAAACTGGTAACCAAAGTAGTTCTTTAGCAGTTTATTTGTGGGTGGGGTTAGAATTGTTTGATTTATTTAATTCACCATTACTTTGTTCAAAATAAAACTATTTAGTTATACTTTGAATTAGCATTGATTATATAAATGATTAAACTAGCAATAATTAAAGTAAAAGCAAAGTAAGTCTGTCAAATTAGAACCGACTACATTTAAGTTACCGTTTTTTATTTAATTACGTCCTGATCCTGATTTTGTACGAATGCTTTTCTGTATCACCCCTCCCCAAGGGGTTAAAGGTGATGAGTCTCTAAAAAAGTTGCCAAATTAAAAAAACAATTTGCACATTTAGGTTAAGTTCTTCACCGTTTTTTTTCAATATTTTGTCGAATGTGGAGCAGTTGGCGTCTTTGATGTCTCCCTGACTTAATTTCTTGAATCTAAGATGTCATTTACTAAAACGAAAAACTCTTTACTAAGCCTTTTCCGAATCTACTCATTCATTTTTTTTGATTTGTTTAAAATTATATCTTTTCCTGTTTTTATAAATTATCTTTGTCAAAAAAAAGGCATTGAAAGTAGTTCAGAACTACTTATCTTTTCGCATTTTTCTTTATCTATCGACTTAATTTTATTCCACGATGCATGCGTGGTTCCACAACAAAAATAATAGCACATTCGCTTTAAACTAATTGATTGCTATTTCCTACAACATTAATTTCATAAAAGTCGCTTTGAACATATACCAGCCAACTACTACTAAATTTTCGTATCAGCAGAGAATACTTTTCCTTGTGGTAGCAATTGTATTCTATTAATAATTTAAATAAAAAGGAATAAATTTTTTTTCCCTACTTACACATAAATAAAACAAAAGAACAAATATTTTTCGGTTTTACAAACAAATATTTTTGAACGGTTCTATATTTTGAATTTTAGATAAAATTATGTCATTACAAAAGTAAGCTGCCATCGGCCTGAGGTTTATGTCTTCTCTTAAGTTTTTAAAAGTAAAAATTTCGTTGAATCCTGCGGTGTCACAATTAATGGTTTTTTCAAAAAATCTGAAATTTAGCTTTGCAATGTGATGATCTAAAGAATCTATGTTGAGGTCGCGATGTATTTTTTTATTGCGGATAAACCATCTTGCTTTTGTTATTTTCCTGAGGATTTTGTTCTGGCATGTTTTGAGTTTTTTAAGGAGTGATGTGGAAATGATCTACTTTATCTTAGAAAAGAAGCAGTTTTTTATTTATGCTGAAATTATAAAAGAAATCTCGATAGTTACAAACATTTTATTCTTCTCGGAAAAAATTATAGAATGAAATGTCTTACGTACCAGTAGATGCTCTTTTCCGTCTTGCTATATAAGAGCTTTCAACCATGCTACTGGCTACATTTTAATAAATGCGCATGCGCCGTATCTTAGAACATATGATGCTCAGCTAAACCTGAGAAAGTATGTTGTTTTTCTGGTTTAGCACACCACACCGAGCAGTTCTACGTATTCGAAGAGCAGGATTTCTCATTTTTACATTTTTTGCCACAGTGTTTAACGTGGTAGCAGAATAACACTTAGAATAAGGTCAATTTGCATAATTTATCAGGAATTAAAAATTTGATTACTCTCTCAGAAATAAAACACTTTTGACGATTTAGCAATCTTTGAGCTGTTTTTCATTAATTTGGAGAATTATTTCGTCACGTAATTTGTGACAAAACGCAAATTCTCAAATGTATGACTAAAATGTTTGCTCGACTCGTAATCTCATCACAGGGCATTGTGGAAGATTAATAACTTGAATGATTAACAATAGTTTGTCCCCCAGGCAATCGTCTGAACTTGTGGTGGTGACTATGGTAACGAGGTATGACTATTTCAAGTAGGGGTGCTAGGTCACTGTTTTGGAGTGGTTTCGGCTCGGGTCGGGTCGGCTAGAGAAAGGGAATCTCTTTCTTCGGTCGATTGTGTTAGTCCTAGAGTGAAGCTACCCTCCCTAAAATGCGCCATTCTTGTTTCCATAGCACCACCCTACCTCAGACTTTGTGGCGGGAGGAGTTCTTAGGTTAGACAAACTATAAATTGAAGACTAGAGGATCGAAAATAAAGTCATGACTTAAGACGACCGTGTGTATGGTGGTCATGAAGTTTGTCTCTAATAAGGAAGAATTCGGGTTCAAATCCGCTTGGGACATATGTGTTATATCTCTCTTCTATCTGTTCTTGTGTTGTTTGGGTGATATTGATCCATCTATTTGGTGTCCACGATAAATTGATTATAAAGGTTATATGCATTAGGCATGGCGAGTTTCTTTTTCGGAAAAAGAAATAGAAGTTGTAAGTCTTAGAGGTAACTTTTTTTCGATGACTTCTCAGAGACTTTCGACGACTTCATCAAGTGCAACTTTCTTTTTTTCTCGTGACACTTGACAAATTTTGACTTATTATTTACAGAATTTTTCACGAACTATAGTAATTATATTTATTTTAATTATTTTAAATCATTCGAATGATATCTTTTTAAATTTAATGATAAATAAAGTACTTAAATTCCGAAAAAAAGTCATATTGCTATGAAAATATGTTAAACGCATGTTTACCTTTAACAACTACTTCACTGGTGGTAGTTTCAGATCCTTCTGTATTAGTTACAGTGCATGAATACGTCCCGGAATCTTCAGTTGTAGTTTTTCGAATAATTACAGTTTCTGTGTCTTCTGATTCTTCTTTTTTCACTTGCACGTGTTTTCCATCTATTTTTAATTCATTGCCGTCCTTTGACCTGCAAAGAGAAGTTTTATAAATTATCTATCAAATTTAAGTCAAATAAATGTAATAAAAAGTAAAAATTTCTTAACTTTGATAAAATTAATGATTTTTTTATGAAACAATGTGCAATAATAGCGCAAATCTAACATAATTCTAATTGTCACAAAATATATTCATAATGTGTCGTATATGTCATAACGTTTGTTTTTTTATGTGAGGACAAATATTTTGTCTTTATTAATGTTCATATATATTCACTATTTTACACTGTTTTCAATTTATCTTTCTATATGTGAGAGCATTTTTTTAATTCAAAATTCAAGAAATCTTCCTTCAATACTATTAATATGTTTCTAACATTAAGTAGTTAATATATTTTCTTTGAAAAGCACTTAGTCTTTCACATACCTGACATTTTTATTCAATTCCTTTTATCAAAGCTTGAGATATAATTTTTTTAATAAATAAGTGAGAAGAATTGCATTGCTTATAACTAAATGGATGTTTTTGGTAAACCCGTGACTAAATACAAACATATAAAAGCCCATTTAACGCTTATAGATTCATTAAAATTTTAAGTTCCAATATTTCCTGCTACACTTGAGAAATTTTGATTCACATCTCCCCTTCCATTTATAAAGAATTTAGTGAAAGAACCAGGTAAGTGACATTTTCAGAAATATTTATCAATTAGGATCGCAATTATATAGATATGTTTAATGTAACAAAATTCTTTTTGCTCTCACTTTTATTTAAACATAACTCATAATTTATCCACATTCACTTTGAGTATGCTTACATGATTTTTATTTCAATTAAAGTAAGTAGGATTTTTTATTTCAATTAAATTAGATTTCCCTTTTCGTTATACTGTAGATGCATTAATTTTAGTGAAACTATAGGCATCAGATCTCCCCGTAAATAAAATAAGGCGAATAATTATTATCCCCGCCTTCTAATAAATCTATACTAAAATAGGACTTTTTTTTCCTTTTACTTTTATTACAGCTCCTCTGAAAATGTCACTTCTTCCACTGAGCTCTTCAAATATAAGTAATTTTGACAACTTCTCCACCAGCTGAGTCATATCAGTGCAAAGCTTTATTTNATATATACACATCTGCACTCACTTTCAAATTAATATTTAAAAGTCAGTGCAGAAGAGCAATAAGTTTATTTGAATTATTAAAAATGCATTGAAATAAAATAAGTTTACCATTTTAATGTTGGTTTTGGAGAACCATCCACAGTAACTTCCAGTTTGATATCCTCATTTTCTGTCACCTCAATATCTTTCAAACCTTTTTTGAAACTTGGCTTAGCTGAAATGGATAAAAAAATAATAAATAAAACCTGCTTTGAAAAAAATCCAACAAATAAAAGTTCTTTTAAAAAAAAACATCCTTATTGTTTTTATTTTTGTAATTTAATTCATTATTCGCATTTATTTATAAACATACTCAAACCATAAAGCTTGAATTTTTGTACCGAAAGAATCCCATAGTTAGGTTAAAAGTTATTCAGAAAGTACCATTTATGTTTGGTGAACTTCGAAGGTATGTTTGCAGTGTTTTCTTATCAAATAAAGTATAAGTTAAAAGTTAAAAGCAGAGAGGTTTTAAGCAATATAGCTGAGATCAGTAAAATTCTGATAAATAACATCGTCGGCTTTATTTGTGAACCCTTCTAAAGATTACAGGTAGTAACAGAAATATAGTTATAGAAATATAAGTTTAACTTACTATTAGATCTAACTATGTAATTTAGTTTCTTGAATTTTTTTTATATTAGTTACCAATAAAGGAAAGAATCAGCCACTTTTTCTATTGATGTTAACCAATTTTTGGATATAATTCCATACCTTCCAATTACTGCGGAATTTCCGTAGTTTCAGAGAAGAATATCTCATAATGGAAGTAACATGGACAACATATGTGTTGCATTCATGCAAGTACATGGTTTGATCTAATGAGATGTTGGGATTTGAAATTAGTTTCGTTCGATAAATATACGCTTTCCTGCTTCTTCAAAAAACACTTGAGGCAACAGCAAAAAAAATGACCATAACGTTTTGCATCATTAACTTAAATGTATTATCGTCTTTTCCTACTACTCCCTACGTAGCATAGAAGTAAGGACACTTAGAATTTACTCGAGTGAATTTTTAAAAAAAATCTCGATTAGGAATATATTATTAAATTGCATAAAAACTGTGGCTTGAAGAGAAATATCTATTACACATATGAAATAAGTGATTCAAATATATTAAAATGTCACGCAACAGAAAAAAAATACTCTCCAGTGTTTTGCATAAATAATACAATTGAATTATAAGAATTTCGTCCAAATTAAAACAGATAGACTACTAATAACTAGGACTTAAATGTATAATAAACTTTGGTTTATTATACATTTAAGTCCTAGCAGAAGCTTAAGAATTTCCTCTCTTGTTTTAAAATTTCCAGTTTACTACTACTGAGAGATTTATTTCACAGAAACCTCAAATGTAGCTGTCAAAAACTGTCGTTGTTGTTTCTACCACTTGTCAATTCCAGCAAGCCTGCTTGGTGAAACCAAGCGAATTTAAGACAGAGGGTGTGTTTCTTGTTTTTCAGTTGCGCCATCTATGGCCAAGAATACGACTTAGCCACAAACACGTCACAACCCGTTTATACGGTGGACTATTCATACTTCCACAGATCGTAATTTTGTCCAGAATCAGAGAACGATCACTCTCCATTTCAGTACCCCCAGATGTATTAATTTGTTCTGGAACAGAGGAGGATGTTGTGACCCGACAGATTTAACGTGCTCCAGACACCATATACTATAACTTCAGCTGGCAGGGATTGAATTCACGATCTCTTGGACAACGGCTCAAACCAGGTTACCAACCAGGCTATCCCGGCCCATGTGTATAAAACTAAACAACGTAAATAAAGTATAAATAATGTCTCAGAAACAGACATACAATAGTTTCTGTTCCATGAAAAAGAGCCTTCCTCACACAAAATTTTACATTCACGTGTGCAGTTTTTTGTGCTTGATTCACATTATTTTGCTTTTTTCATATGCAGCGCAAATTCTAACCTCTTGAATTAAATTTTAGAAAACTGAGCTGCACTGAAAAGTTGTTAAAGTAATCGTAAAAAAATAAGAAATATTATCGAAAGCGTTTTCGAGTTTCTAAATATAAAAATGTACGATAAAATCAAGTGGGATATTATTGGACATCTCTAACTCTTCCAAACATAGAAATTTGCGTTTTCTAAATAACATTTTAGTTCCTTCTATTATATTCACTTTGACTTACTTGATTTTTCTTTCACTGTTAAATTGCTTTTCGTTGTGTCTTTGCCATGTTCGTTACTAATTTCGCACACATATTCACCAGAATCTTCAGTTTTGGTTTTTTTAATAGTAAGAGTGTAAGTAGAATCATTTTCTTTCTTTTCTGTAATGCGAGTTTCGATATCTTTTCCATCTTTTTTCCTAAATATTAAGATAATAAATTCTTTTACAAAGTTAAACAAGTATCAATAATTGCTTAACAATAAAATGAACTAAAATCATGAGGTCTTATCTATCAAATGCAATAACGTCGAATCTCTTTATAGGTGCAATACTATATATGCAAGGAGAAAATAGAGAGAAAAAATTCAAATTTTTACCTCTCTAACAATCAAAAAACAGTAATTTCAGCGACAATTAATTTGAAACTATTTTTTTTTATTTTGGTTCTTATTAACCATTTATCAGTTTAGTTTTAAAACTTCAAGAAAAAAAATTTATTGTTTTTTATGAATAGAATAATTTTGAAGGACCATATTCTCCTCTCCAAAGTTTATCAGATGATTATATTCTAGATGCATTCTAAAGATATATTCTAAAAATATATTCTAAAGATTTGTATGAGTATTCATTAGATTGAATTCCAATGTCAATTACTTCTCATTTATTTCTTCGTTGTGAATCTCACAATCTCTAATCCTTAGGTTTTTTTTTTCAAGTACAGATGATTATTTTCCAAATATAAATAACAATCTATTCCATTACGGTTAACACAATAATGAAATCCTCTTACATAAAGATACAATAAATGAATATTTAAAAACCAAAAATTTTTGTCTTTTGGTGGGAAATATTGACGTTTAAGTAGAAATGATCAATGATAAATGGTAATCAGTTACGGAGATTGGCGAACGGAGCGAGCAGAAAATGGTGCCTTTTAGCATGTTAAAAAATCGTAAGCGAAGCTACCGTCGCTAACGCTGTTGTAGGTATTTAATTTCACGTTATAGTTTGCTTAGCCGTGCAATCACTATTAAACTTAGAAAAGGTCATTTATGAAATTATATAGAAAAATGTACAGACAATACAGAAGGAATAGAAAATTGGCATTTGTTAATTATTTGCAGAACTATTGACTATTAAACTTGTTGTAAAAAATGCCTTACAGACAGACGCCTGCAGAAATGCAACTACAGATTTGAAATTTCACGTACTAAAAGGAGAATTTTTATTTTACAAACTAAACTCGAGTTTTTGCCCTGAATTCAATTTTAAGTGCTTTTTCGTTAAATTTTCCTCCCTTTTTATCCATGAAATAATACTTTTCTCTCACATAATACTTAAAACAAAAACTAATGTTTTCTCTCATTTTTTTACTTAAATAATTTCTAGGAAATTTGATTTTTCTTGATCGATGTCTTTGTTTTTTAAGCTCGATCTTGAACTGATGTTAGAGGTAACCAAAAAAAAAACAAAAACAGTCCAAAGATTAAATCATCCATTTTATTATGATTAATATACTAGCATAATGTTCGTCCATAAAATTAAAATAATAATGTTTTTATTAACAAAATTATATTAGTTTATTTTTGAAAAACATAAACATTTAAGGAGAGAAATAAAAACAATGAGGAATAAGAAGTAAACACGGGGGTTGAAAATCGAAGAAAACAGGTGTGGGCATGCAATATTCATAAGGTGTCTTCTTTAAATCCAATTTTATNATTAACAAAATTATATTAGTTTATTTTTGAAAAACATAAACATTTAAGGAGAGAAATAAAAACAATGAGGAATAAGAAGTAAACACGGGGGTTGAAAATCGAAGGAAACAGGTGTGGGCATGCAATATTCATAAGGTGTTATTTATCATTACTATCTTCTTTAAATCCAATTTTATCGAAATCTTATAATATTGTGTGTAAAATTAAATATCTTTATAGCCATGTTTGGAAAATCTTACCATTTGACAACTGGACTTGGATCTCCTGAAATAGCAACTGATAACTTGGCATCTTCTCCAGCGTTGATGGTGATGTCATTCAATCCTTTAATAAATTTGGCAGGGGCTGACAAAATTAAATAGAACGTTTTATAATTCATAAACATTATCTGATATAATTTATAGATAAGAAATGGTGAAAACAACATTAATATTGTACAATGCACCAAAGAAAAAAAAACGGACCACCCAGAATAACTTTTTATCTAATGATCGGATCATCACATTCTCGGACTCAATCTTAATGGTTCGAGGGCTGATCTCGAATAGGCTAATTATTCAGTGCAGACGATATTTTAAGTTACGAAATGAGACACAAAAACGTACTTTCACTGAATAAACATACCTTTTTCTCGATTTCTGACCCCTAAACTATAGGGGGCGTCCGCAATCTGGGAAATATGGTCTCAATAGTTTGGTCAGGAGAGTGGTTCAAAGTTTGGGCGTCTTAATGTTAATTTTACTTTTTTTCGTATTTCTCCTTATCTAGAGAACTTTTTAATCGAATTGATAAATTTGGGTACACAATTATAAAATTCGTTTATCCAAAGATAATACAATGCAAAAAATAAACTTTGGTAAATATTTATTATTTTATCAAATAATTGTCAAAAGAATTTTGAATTGAAGGGTATACAGTTTTTACATAATTTTAAAGTATGTAATTTCACATGGCAGAATAAAAAATTTGAGTGAAATGGGTTTAATAGTTCCTGAAAAAGTCGTATATTTATAGTACACATTAATTTATAATTATGGTACTCATTAAGTTAATATGAATTCTAAATTTAAGAAAAAAGAAACGATATTTTTTCCCAATTTTTTTCTCATTTATCAGATTTATATTGTTTGCAAGTTTTTTTTTAATCTAGCATTTTGTGAATGCTATGGTAACGTGTGTTAACTCTTTGCAGTTCAATGTGCCTTCTGACTGGACATCAAAAATTATCATTCTTAAATTTAAAATTTTTATATTTAAAAAACTACCACTCGAAAATATGTATCCGCAGTCCGGAGCAAGTTGGCATCTCTGCCACCCCATAGACTGCTGAACTCAAACTGTCTTTTATTTTAACTTTCTATTCTATTTCATGATTTATGGGATATGGGCCTTCTGCGCGGCCCAGGTGCCCAATTTTTTATAAATAAAGAAAGAAAGAAAAGGTACTCCATACCCAAATTCACATTGGCGTTGTTGACATTAATTTTATGAATTTTTAAAAAAGTATTTTACTATACAGTTTCGATGATTTAGCGTTTACATTAGTTCAAACAACATGTTAACTAACTTCTTCAGGCCTGATATCGCTTATGGATCGCAATAGTGGCACAACTAAAAAACACGCGTTTTGGACTAAGAACAGGTGTCAATAGGAAAATACACATTCTTTTCAGCAGCAATGCTACCACAACTCATAATTCAACTTGAAGGTGATCTTCGTTTAAGTAAACTAAAGCATTTCTTATGCATTTTCCTTAGCAATGAAAACTTTAAACCCAGTTATCTCAAAACATGATTTTTTGAGTTGTGCCGCTATTGCAGCCAATGAGCGATATGCTCTGACCAAGCTCGGCTTATAAATTGTTTTACAGGATGTAGCTAAAGTTTGAAAAAAAAATACTTTGAAGTATTCGTATCTGATAAAAATATTTTCCTTTCATTCAGCGTGATGTGAAAACTTCGAAACTTATTTTATAAAATTAATCGGCAGTTAGCTTTATGAAATTTTAAGCAGTCTTGCAAAAATTTCGCTCCCGCTTTTTAATTTTTTCCGGGTTGAGAGTATTCTGCATTTGGTGGGGTATCCTAATGTTTATCTAGGCTTTGAAGAGGTTAAAGTACTCATAGTGCAAAAGGTTAAACTGCAGCTATAAAAAGAGTGAAAATTCATTACTGTTTATGCAACATTTTTCACTTTAGTTCTTCACATTTAATCTAATTTTTATGATTATAGATTGGAATTCGAAGTTTGATATAACTAATACATCACGAAGAATAAGCATATTTTTTGGTCACCGAGGGAAAAAAATTGTGACATTAGTTTTTATTTTCCGAAAAAGATTTGCTCATAAGCTTTTTAGTTTGGCGACCACTGGGTTAGCCAACTTGGGAATAGCTAACTGGGATTGAAAACCACCTATTTAGATTGCTCCTCATAGTTTTAGAAGTTGCATATAACTTCATAGGTTTAGGAGTTTTGTGCCGAAAATGTAAATACAATTGATCATTGTTTTTGTTTTATATCAATGGTTTCGTTATACTTACAGTTTACTTTGCAAACTCCATAGCTTCCTTGGCTACCATTTTCGTTTTTGATGATGCAGGAATAATTACCAGAATTCTCGACTTTGGCTTTTTTAATAACTAGTTTCTGAACTTTATCTTCTGATGTAATTATAATTCTTTCAGATGGAACTAAAGCCTGACCATCCTTGCACCTGAAATAAACATAAAATATGGGATGTAATTGGATCTTAAAGATACCTTGTAGTTGTTTCATTTGGCCTATAACATATTTGTTTTTAAAGCTACTGAATTGAAATTCTGAATTTGAAAAAAATCAACATGTTTATAATTTGATTTCTGCCTGAATTGACGAAATGTCAACACAGGTGGGCATTGGAAATAAAAAAAAGAATAATTTGACTTCTAAATTTTTCGAGAACTAAAATAGTCAGTTATAAAGGGGTTTTTGACTCTGATAGGTACATGCTATGTCCACACCTAATGTGATAAGCATACAATAAGGGTGATAAGCATACGATGAGGACTATTGCGGACATCTGGGAATATTCTAAAATCTGTCAGTCAAAATGTCTCATAAGAGTTTATCAGAATCACAAAATTAATTTTCATTTTCGTTTGAGGTTGCAGGACGAGAAAATTTATCGTTAAGTAGTTAATTATAAAGAAAAGGTTTTCATGGTGGTAAAATGAATTCTAAATTTGTTTAAAGAATTCTTATTCGTTTTTTTATGTAAATAATTGGAAATATTATGTTATTCATAAATATGTTAATTTAATATTTCAATAGTGAGTTTTTATTTGCATATTTTACTTAAAAATCAATAATCTTAAAAGAACAAATAACTTCATCCGGGTAGTGCGTCTCATAATTAGGTGTGTTGTTAATACAAAGCATAAATAATATAGAGCAAAACAAATGTTATAGAGTTATCCAATTTTAGCCTATACTTATGCTATATTCTAGCATTTTAATTTATTTTATAATCGTCTTTGAACAGCCAACCCAATTTTTGGGTTTACGACTACTAATTTTCAACTCCGTATCCTTGTAATTTCAAACCTAATCTAGAAGACAAGGGAACTTCTCTATCGAATATTGGGAGAAATTTGCCTTCATGAAGGACTTTTTGCTGTAACTAACCTGCAATTGCATTGCATGGAGAGAAAAACCACTGAACCCACCAATGTTAAGCCTAACGGCAAGGGGACTCTAACCCATGATTTATTTACCACTGAGGATATTTTGCGTCAACACTGTGATCAGGGAGCGGGATTCGTATCAAACAGTCATCGCTGAGATTCGAACTCGAGGCACATAATTAGGAGGTGAGAGCTTTATCCTTATAGCCACCAGGACTCATATTACACTATTTGAAAAAAAAAGACTTTCCAGATCTTGATGGCCGTTAGAATTCAACTCTTGAGAATTAACGTTTGAGAATTCGAGCGTTCAAGCGTTTATAACTTTGTAAATAATTAATGCCCAGCCACAAAAAGTGATCATATATAAAAAAATACATTTGAGAAAAAAGTTGTAGTGTATATTTATCTGCAAGTGGATATTTCTTTCCATAACCTACCACTTCAGTTTAAGAAAAGCACTATGTAATGACATTAAATGTAAATACAAATATTATATAAATAATATATTAAAGTAGATAGAAATATATATTAAAGTAGACTTCCGCAATATATTAAAGTAGACTTCCTTCGTAATATATTAAAGTAGTCTACTTTACTATACTGCTTTACTTAAAGTTTCGGTGTCTACTTTAATAATATATTAAAGTAGACTTCCGCAAAACAAATCCTAGAAATGAGACACTTGAGCTACCCCTTTTTTCTTTTTGTAAAAAGGAAGTTTGATTTAAAAAGACGTAGGGTAAAATGGGTTAAGTGTATTACCATGAAACAGTTGGTTCCGGAGAGCCATCAACTTCTACACAAAATTCAATATCCTCATCAAGCATAACTTCGGTTCCTTCCATTTGCTTGAGAATTTTCGGAGGACCTAAAACATTAGTTATTTCTTATGAAATAGTGATAAATTAAACTTTTTTAAGTCGAATTTTTAGGAAAAAAAGTGGATACTTTTGTTACACATGAATAAATATAATCTCTCTTTTATTAAAAAAAAATAATAATCGTTTAAATTTATTATATAATTTATTAACGTAAATTTAATCTCTTTAGCTATCACTTCCGTTTTCAAAAAATATTTTTATGAAAATTAAAAACACAAGTTAATTTATATGTTTTGTAATAAATGAGTATGCAATTTCTAAAAAAATCTGACAAAAAATGAAATACTTTCTGTACAACATTATTTCTTTGCTGCGAATCTTGAAAAGTTAAATAATATGTGGTATGTTCTCAGCACTATGAACCTATCTGCATCGAGAAACGGTAAATCTCGTTTTTTTTTTTTGGACAGTTAAAAATTTATTCTAGCTTTCTGTAATAGTGGAAAAATTTAAAAAGAGGTATTAAAACTATTTCATTTTAATTTTATTTTTCAAAGAAATAACTCATTCGTTTATTACTACTAATATATTTTATTTTATATCTGTCGTTGAAATGTCGACCCAATTTTAACTTTACGACTAACAGTGTTCAACTCCTTAGTCTTGTAATTTTGAGTCCAATCTAAAATTTGTGGGGACTTTTGATAGCCTTCACGGAGGACTTTTTGATAAAACTAACCACAATTTTGTCACATGGTGAGGAAAACCACGAAAATCTCACATGGTAAGCCTACAAAGGGACTCTGACCCATGATCCGTCTTCTAATGAGGATATTTTTTATCAGAACTGTAGTTGGTGAGAGCCGGGGATGGAATTTGTATTGACCAGACATCGCTGGGATTCAAACCAGAGGCACCTCACTGGGAGGCGAGCGTTCTATCCCCTGAGCCACCACTGCTCTTCCAATAATTTGAAAAATTCAGAAGATCCGCATGCAGTATTGCAATAAATCAGTAAAAAAACCTGGCTGAGCAGTCTCGTTATCTCGCTAAATACGCATGGCATGGAGATAGCATATCCTTCTACAGTCAACGTCGCACACAATTCGTCGTGAGACTGGTAGAAAAAATTTTTTTCAATTCAATCTTCCGAGGCAGCCAAGAGGCTCACCTGATTCGATTGTGTTCTTTGTGCGAAAAAGAAATTTTAGACCCTATCCCTTAGTCCTTATCAGGTGAAAAAAACAGCTTCATTTGATGTTGAAAATGATTGAGGGGAATATATGCGGTTTGGTTATCGGATCAGTAAACAGTTAACTTTACTACATCGGGAAAAAAGTCATGAGAAGTGAAAGACTAATATTGATTTTTCTAATAACTTAAGTAAGAATTTTTCCTTCATGGACAAACATTATTTTTAAAACTAATTGATAACTCTAAAAAAAAAACTTTTTAGAGTGAATCGATGACTCTAAAAATATTATTTTAATGAGCAAATATGGATAAAAATAATAATTAAAAAATATACCGGCAGCCAACTTTTTAGCTTTTTTAAAAATTTCTTAGCTAAGTTTACGTTTTAATGTATAATTCTTTTTATTATTTCAATTTATTTTTCACACCACTACACGTAAATGATCCTTCATATCAAACGCCACTTTGTTCTAGTCTTCTCGTGGCGAGGTTGTTAAAATTTTGATAATGTTTGATGATTAATTGTAAAAATTCTGAAAGGTTTGATGATTTATTGTAAAAATTTTGAAAGGTTTGATGATTAATTGTCTACCAAAGGTATATTTCAAAAAGAGTAGTAGTTGGCAGGCATGATTATTATATACTTAAAAAAAATTCGTGCATTTATCACAGCAATTTTATCTTTATAATTAGGAAAGGCAAATAACATTTTACCATTTTTTGTCTAAATTATATTTTTTAAAGTGTGGCACTCTAGGGTGTTTCGGAGTGAAATAAAGAGCGTAGTGAGTAGTCTATGACTTTAAGTCTTATAGTAACTATTTTTATGGGTAGTGTTAATAGTTTTATAGTTATTTAAAAGAAGAAAAAAATTCTGCGTTTAAGTTGAGCAGAGTTGATAGCATTTTGGATGTCTGTTGGCAATGAGTTGAGTATCTTGACTTACGCAAAAAGCTATAAGCGTTCTTATTCTCTTTACTATATCATACCTAGTGCTTACAGTAGTTATTGTTCTAAAAAGCAAACATCGCTTGAAAATAAATATTGATAAAAAAAATTAAAATATATGGATCAAGATTTTTCCGAGATTTGAACAGTTATATGCCGCAAGTGGCTCCAAGTGCTAAGTTGAAAGATCCGGGATGTGAGCAGCAAGCTCACTCATCGCACTTAACAAATTCGCTATTCCTTTGAGCATGGCTGGCAATTTCTTTTAACTTTTATTTTTTATTAATAAAGCTTATAAAATCAAATATTCTTCTTAATACCTTCGTATGAATCAAAATTAAATTAGTTTTGACAATTATAAGCATGTGTTTCATTATGTATGTTATTATACCCCTGTTTCATAATTCACATATGAAACATTTATTGACTGTATTAAATGTATATTATATCGCAGACAAATATGTTATTTCATATTTTATATCTGTCGTTGAACATCCGACCCANAATTATGTATTTTATAACTTTTATACGTTTTTTAAAAGTGACAAATGGTTACCAATTTTATTCAAACTCACTTCAAGAAAACTGAAGTTATTGAAAAATGGAAACCTAAATTAAAAGTGGTAAAACGTGGTGGTAAGTATACTTACCACGGCCTTCAAAAGGGTTAATGTAAGATTCTTTTTTTATTTCAATTTATTTTTCGCACCACTACACGCAAATGATTCTTCAAATCAAACGTTCTAGCCTTCTCGTGGCGAGGCTGTTAAAATTTTGATAATATTACTAAAAATTCTGAAAGGTTTGATGATTCTCTATCAAAGATATATTTCAAAAAGCGTAGTAGTTGGCAGGCCTGAGTATTAGAAACCTAAAAAAAATTCGTGAATTTATCGCAGCAATTTTATCTTTATAATTATGAAAGGCAAGTAATATTCTACCAATTTTTGCCTAAATCATTTTTTTAAAGTGTGGCACTCTATGGTGCTTCGGGGTGAAATTAAGAGCGTAGTGAGCAGTCTATGACTTTAAGTCTTATAGTAACTATTTTACAGTTAGTGTTAATAGTTTTATAGTTATTTAAAAGGAAAAAAAAATTTCTGCGTTTAAGTTGGGCAGAGTTGATAACGTTTTGGATATCTGTGGGCAATGAGTTGAGTATCTTGACTTACGTAAAAAGTTATAAGCGTTCTTATTCTCTTTACTATGTCATACTTTTCTTTTTAGAACAATAACTATGTGCTTACAATAGTTATTGTTCTAAAATGTAAACATCGCTTAAAAATAAAGATTGCTAAAAAAATTACAAATATGTGGATCAAGATTTTTCCCTGATTTGAAAAGTTATGTGCCTCAAATGGCTCCAAGTGCTAAGTTGAAAGATCAGGAATGTGAGCAGCAAACTCACTCATCGCACTTAACAAATTCGCAATTCCTTTGAGCGTGGCTGGCAATTTCCTTTTTTTATTAATAAAGCCTATAAAATCAAATATTCTTCTTAATACCCTCGTATGAATCAAAATTAAACTAGTTTTGGCAATTATAAGCATGAACATCATTATGTATGTTATTATACCGCCTGTCACATATGAAATATATATTGATTGTAAATATATATTATATAGCAGGTAAATATTATATTATTGGGGTGTTGTATGAGAATTTTAATACTTGTAAGGATACCAGAAACAATTTTTCGATTCAGCTGTGTTCGACGACCCGCTCCCTTGTTTAGCATTTTCATTAATAAAATATAAAAAAAACTTGATTCATGATTTTATTTTAGTTCAGATAGCAAATTTTAAAAGAATTGAAATTATTTGCATTATAATTGTAACCTGGTCTAAGCAACTGAATTGAATATACTTCTATCTCCTCCCATAAAATTGATATTACCTCCTTTTAAATGAAATATGATATGTTCGTAAGTGGTTCATAAAATGTCTTTCAACAAGAGGGGTTTGTTTTTGTATATGGGGCAAATTTTTAACCCCAACATATCTTTTTCATCCAAATGAATTTAAAAGATTCAAAATAAAATTTAAAATTAACGTTTTTATAAGGAAAATTTTTATTGCAACTATAGCATATTTTAAACGTTTAAAAATACTCTCATGGTTAATGTAAAATAAACTCTAAATATTGCCTAAAGCGTATGTGAGAAATAAAATACATTTCATGTTCAAAGAAAAAGCATGGATGATATATTACTTGTGACTTTGAGATCATAAGTAATGTCGTCTTTGCCCATATCATTAATGGCTTCTGCACAGTATTTCCCGGTGTCATCTTGAGTAAGATTCTTTATTGCCATTGTAAAGGATTCATCGTCCTCTTGGAGCATTACGTACTTGTCTCCCATCTTCAACTCTTCTCCATCTTTGGTCCTATTAGCCAATAAATGGTTCTAATAGTAAATAATGAATGATAAAATAAGAATATCGTGGGTTACCCAATAATCAATTTTTTTCCAACCTTTCAGATAGTTGTAGCCATACATGGCAGTACTTTTACTTTCGTTACTTGNCCAATAATCAATTTTTTTCCAACCTTTCAGATAGTTGTAGCTGAATTGACTTTCATAAACCTAACAACGTTTCATTTCATGGTTTGCAAAATCTGCATCCATTGTTGTTTGTACTCTTGCCGTACAATAAGCTGGATTGACGTTTCCATAAATGTTTCTTAAGAAATCACGTAATTTTCCTAGCTCTTCTTCACTATTCATATTTACATTAAAATCGCTAGCAAAATACACTAATTACAGAATAATTAAATTAAGAGGAACGTTAGAATACTTTTAATTAATATTATGGGAGAACTTTCAAAATGCGCGATGGTGAAAATAAAAAGAAAGAAAGCTTGGCTCAATTATTAACAAGCGTTGCTTCCTTATATTTTTCTTGTAATCCTTTCTATATAAATGGTTTCTTGCAAGTGACGTCATCGTAGATAAATCGTAGCATTTGTCAATCTAGAAACCAATCAGGTTCAAAAAACAAACGTGACGTGGCTTACGGGTATCCAATTAAATCGGATGTAAATCGTATGGTTAGGTATAATCATTTCTTCTTGAGTTGAAAGTACCCTATTCTTTCTTTATTATTTTCTTCTTTAAATGACTAGTAGAAGATGGTAAAAGAATAATGAATTTTATCACTATTTCATTATGCTTTGTATTGGTGTTCGTTTAAGTAAATGCAAGCATACGCATACCCTCCTACTTATGAAGATTTTGAAAATAATTCTTTCTAGTGGCAGCGAACCAAATTAGAAGTTTTTAAAGCAAATGAATCTCTCATAAAACTTTTATCAGAACTTAAGAATCTAGCCATATGGCCTGCACTTTTATAAGTAATAGTAGACACGTTACGCTAAAATTAATTTTTTTTAAATATTAAGACATTAATTTTGCTACCGTCTGAAAAGAAGNTGTTACATACCCTCCAACTTATGAGGATTTTGAAAATAATTCTTTCTAGTGGTAGCGAACCAAAGTAGAAATTTTTAAAGCAAATGGATCTCTCATGAAACTTTTATCAGAACTTAAGAATCTAGCCATTTTATAAGTAATAGTGGACAAGTTACGCTGAAATTAATTTTTTTTAAATATTAAGACATTAATTTTGCTACCGTCTGAAAAGAAGATTTCTGAAACTACGGAAATTCCGTAGCAGTTGGAGGGGATGCATACGTTCTAGAGTAAAATTTTTCATTTTTATAGTGTAAAACTTTTCATTTTTATAGTCAGAAGCTTTTTTTTTGTCTATTTCATTCTTAGTACTTTTCAGTTCTAAAGACTAACTAAATTCTACCGATGCACAATGAATAGTTGTTAAATTTGCTAAAGATAGCGACTTAAGCAAAAGTTATTCTCACAAATAAATTTACACCTCATGCGTCAAAGAAGAAAAAAAAACAGGTTTTCCGTGAATGGTGAATAAATGGTGTCAAATATATATCGATTGATATTTGACAATTATTTAGTAAAAATTTTATATTCTAGTTCAGTATATTCTAATTAATTTATTTCTAATTAATCCTTTCGAATTAAATTCTTTTTATCGAAATTCCTTCTAGGTTTAAAAAGTCGCCGAATTTGGCGATAAAAAGCGTAATTTGCAAAACCACTTGAAAATGATGTCAACAGACTACCGTTTCTTTGGCAATGCTTAAAAGTTAGTCTTGCTGCTAGTATAGTTGAATAATGTGTGGGCTAGGAAGTTCCTGGTAGAACAACCATTTGAGCAATGTTAACTGATTTAAAACTTCATTTACTTCAGAAATAAACAAATAAGAAATAACAGTCAACATGCTTCAAGCGCCTCAAAAATAGGAGCCCATTTTCAAAATTTGCCAGGCGTGAATACCTGACAAAATAAGCCGTGAAAAATAGCCGTCTATATTTGATGCGCTTGGAACATGTCGACTGTTATTTCGTATTTGTTTATTTCTGAGATGAATGAAGTTTTCAATCTTACGGTAATATTTAACCGCTTCATTTTCTTTGGGATTATTTATTTAAAATTTGATCAATGATTAACAAATTTCAATATTTTGGCTTTCGCTTATTTTTTAGCTGCATTACTATAAAAAAAAAGCGAAATCCAAATTTCAATATTTTGGATTTCTCTTATTTTTTAGCTGCATTTAGAAGCATTGCTACTATTGTAATTTGTACGCTATTTCGGGTGCATTTTTCTTCACGGCAACGGAAACTATCATTTGAGACTTGATTCTTTTTGATTTTTAGAGTAGGCTGTTCCAAAAAGATGATAAAAAATATTATAATTTCTAAAGGCATATGACTTTTTTAATTAGTGAGGTAATGCGAGAAAAAATCCTCCAAAAAGGCATAAAAACTTTCTTAGAACTTTCAAATAAGCTATTATTATACTTATTATGCATTTTTCTATAGCACATATATTTTAATTACTGTTGTTAAAATGTTTAACTTCTTACCATGTTATGACAGGCTTAGGAAACCCTGTAGCCGTCATTTCAAGTAATGCCGAAGAACCTTCTTTTGCATCCACTTTCTTGATCGCTGAAGACAACTTTGGAGCTTCAGGGTCACGAAGAAGACCACCTGCATCAAATATTAAAATTAAATATTAACAATTCTGCACAGTGGTTACATTATTATTTATCTTCAAACAAATTTAATTAGTCTTAATATTAATTTATAAAAAAATATACAATAGAAGTCTATAATCTAGATCAGAAGTTTCAAGCCTTTCTTCAAGATCAAATTGTCATTATTATCTTAAATAAAGTCAAATTTTGGATTTGAAAAACCCTTTGCAAAAATTTGTGAAGGTGTTTTTGAGGTTTATTTTGAGGTGACACGGTTGTTTTAAGGTTTATTTGAAGATTACTTCAAATACAACCTTAAAAGATAAACCCCTCAAGGTGTATAATCAAGATGTATGAAGTTGTATTAATCATAAAGGTTATTTTGAGCTTGTTGGAAATCTACATAAGAGTAACCAACTTAGAGTGGTTATTTTTGAGGTGTACAGGCTATTTTTTCTACACCTCAAACTAATAAGTATTTTTGAGGTATAAATAATTTCACCCGATTTCAACTAAAAGTATTGCTGAGTTATATATGACGATGATTTTATGCGGTGTAATTGAGATTGGAACTCAAGTTCATTGATGAGGTTATTTTTGGTGCAAAACATAACCCCATTTTCTACCTCAGGTATTTTTTTACATCTGTTAACCTCAAAAACACCTTACTTTTTCGAAAGGTATGAGATGAAACGACGAATAAATATTTTTTATAGGAGGGTTATTTATGAAATAGAATTATGGGAAAAATTATAGGAATCAACTGAGATAGGTTTTAAAATAAACTAACTATTTGTTTTTCTGTAAACTTTGTGGAGAAATCCTCTAAGATCTTTTTTTCGGCAATTGAATTGTAATTCATAGGCTAAAAGCTTCTGGTCTGGATTTCTTCAAATAATTAATCAAATTACTTTAAGTAAGCACTATCTAGTTTTCAATCGTTAATGTTATGTCTAAAGTAAGCTGACCAGCCTCCTCAAGAAACTAAAAAACTAGTGGTGAATGTTATGTAAGCGAAAGTTATGTAAGGATATTTTAAGATCTCATTGCTTTACCTTTCCAATTTAATATTCTGAGAACAGAAATCCCTTACGAAGATTTGCTAGCAGAAATATTATTGAAAAATATAACTGAAACGGTAAGTAGGTGAGGTTTTCGATTGCCCATTTAGAAAGTTTAATATCAGTCTTTTGAGGACTCTAGTCAGCTTAGTCTAAAAGAGAAATTCTTAGGTGAAATTCTGATACGGATAAGTACTGCAGTATTACTGAAGTTGAAACTATATATAGTATTTTAATATTAATGGGAGAGCTATTATTTCCATAAATTTGGACGAATTATATATTGCAATATGTCTATTACGGTCTAAATTTTTGTTAAACTTTGATATTCTTTTGAGACTTTTGTTTTCTGAATTTATTTCTTGAAAATAAGTTATAATTTATTCACTTTTCTTCGGTTATTTTATACCTTTCTTTATTTAGAATTTTGCAAAATTTAGATTTAATTTGCATTTTTTAAATATGTGTAATAGTTTTTACAAGATCTTTTATACCCTTATTTTTAGAATTGTATGTAATCATTGCATATTTCATTGAATTTGAAATGCTCGCCGTTTCAATTTGATACTTTTATTCGGTTAGTTTAAAATCCACTATTCAAACAAGTTGCTATTCAAAACAGTCCTGTTTTACAACATTTAAAGCAGCACTACAAACTAAGCTGTAAAATACTGTCATGCAGATTGAAATAAAATCTAAGAATAGCAGTTAAGCATCTACAACGTCCAATCCACTAATTTACTCTCGACTGAAACAATAAATATTCAAATGTGAGACATTTCTAAACAATTCGGATAACAATAATAATCAGAAAATTTTTATAATATTCAAATTAATACTTAATTTAAATTTTATTTTCAATACTGCACGAGTGAAGATTTATTACAACATTTTATTTCTCATAACTTTTTACACTATACATTTCTGTAAATGCAAAAGTACCCAAGATAACGCTACGTTTTCCTAATAAATATTTTGGCCTAATAAATCATAACGTCATTTTTAGAATAAGAATTGGAAGCTAATGTTCGAAGAAGCGTTTTCATTTGCATGCCTCCCAGTGGTTCGTCAAAAAATAAAGAAGCAGCAAAATTCATGTTAAAAAAAAAAAATTTATTTAAAATTATATTTATTAGGTCTACCGGAAAACTCAGTCGCCGTTTAAAAATTTTTAGCAAATTATCTGGACCTGCTTTTTACCACTATAGCGCTACGAAGGAAATATGTCCGGTTACTTAAACTAGTGCAAAAGTATCTCGATCGGAAATTTAATCTGAAACCGGACTGTAAGCTCTATGAAAGGACGTGGTTCCATCATAGGTGGTGCTCATAAGAGTTAGTTTTTTCTTTGGCAAGCTGCCACTTTTAATTCCTTTTCCAAAAAAAAAAGAGTTCCATGCTGATTTAATCTAAATAAAAAGTATCCATTAGCCAAACAGAGCTGGGTGAGCGGTGGTGGCCAGGTGATAGAGTTCTCACCTCCCATTGAGATGACCAAGGTTCCATCCCACAATGGCTGATCTATACGAATTCCGCACCCGGCTCGTACCGACCACAGAGCTGACGTAAATTATTCTCTGTGGTAGACGGATCATGAGTTAGAGTCCCCTTGCCGTCCCGTTAGCCGTGGGATGTTTTGTGGTTTTCCTCTTTATGTAACACAAACGCAAGTTAGTTCCATCAAAAAGTCCTCCACGAAAACACATTTCGCCCAGTACTTAATCCAGGAATTCCCTTGTCTTCTGGATTGGGTTCAAAATTGCAAGGCTATGAAGTTGCAAAATAGTAGTCATAAACCCGAAAATTGGGTCGGCTGTTCAACTACGGTTATAAAATAAAATAAAAATATAGCTGAGTACCTGAGCCAAAACATGACCTTTGTTCATATAATAAATTTTATATTTTCTTTTATATATTTTTTAGTTGTGGCAGTCACGGGTACAATGATTCTTTCATCAGAAGACAATTTATGTTATAACTTCGTCATCACATTTTATCATAAGAAAGTGCTTTCCTGATTAAACAGGACAGTCACAATCCTTTCTTTAACTATAATAGGGTTAATATATCATGCATAAGCTAATAGTTTAAGCATAGTGGGTTAGCTGTACAATAGATAATGCACGAACAGTGGTATAAATAATTCAGCCTACCTTGAACTGTGAGCTCTGCACTACATGAAATTTTACCACTGCTTGTACTAGCCACGCAAGTATACAAACCAGCATCATCTGGAGTTACGTGTTGAAACACCAGAGACACTGTATCTTCTGACTCGTCGATCGAAACTTTAAATCTTTCACTTGACTCCACTTCCACTTCTTTGCCATCTTTGGACCTGTAAAGATTTTTTTTGTTGATAAAATACTGTTTCTAAGATATGCATAGCATGCAATGTTCAAATAAAAACCGAACCACCCGGAATAAATTTTGATTGAATGACCGAATCTTAACTTCCAAGGACTCTTAATGGTTCTAGAGGGTGACCTCAAATATGCTAATTATTTAGTGCAAACGGTATTTTAAGTTACTGGATGAGTCAAGAAACTGGAGTATTTTGAGGTGCTCGTAAGACAGCGCAAACGGTTATAAAATGTTTATTATATTTATTTAAATTAAAGGTAATGGTACCGGAGCTTCGGGGGCCCTATCCTTAGCAAATTTAAAAAATAGCAGAAACAATTAAGAAAATACAATGTATTTCAATACAGTTTGTATTGCTTAAAGTAAATAAACTTAATATTTTGCCATTATGTTATATCCAAGTAAAGTATACACTTAGAAGCAAAATAGCTTGGGCCCTCATTGGACCAATATTCACGTATCTTGGTTCAATAAGGGTTCAAAGGGCCGATATTTTACACCCACTTTACAATCAATATCGGCCCTATGTAGAAAAGTCCGATTCACCCGATATTTTACAACCAATGTCGGCCCTACATAGAATCGTCCGAGTCACCCGATAATTATTTATCACCGATAGATATTCAGCCATTAAAGGACTTATATTGCCCCGATGTCGGAGCAATATTAAAATCTCTAGACATTTCAATATTGGTCCCTCGGTGCATGTTCTTATGGGACCTATATTGAGCCAATTTTGGACCCCAACTGGGACCAGGGTAAAATTGTTGATCAGGTATCCTCCATCATCATCATCATCATCTTGGATTGTACGAGGCCTTTAGGCCCTGAAAGGGCCTTTTACCTCTCCATCTGAAGCTTGGGATCTGAGTTGACTGCATCTGGAATTAGGTATCCTCCAATTACTGCGGAATGCTCGTCGTTTAAGATATTATCTTTTTCTAGTGGTAGTAAAGTTGTACTAATATTTTAATAAATTAAAACCTTAAAAAATATTGTCCACTACTACGAATAAATAATTTAACCTTTTCCAGTGTAAAGTAGCTAGTCTCACAACACTGATTCAAATGTTACTAACGACTCGAAATGTAAAATTACTTTTTTAAACGTTTAGCAACCACTATTGTTTAAAGAACAAAAAGTAATAGTATATTGTTTAGTGGCAGCGTAGTTTATGTTTTTTTGAAAGATTCTTTAATTTGAAAATTTGATTTAAAGTTTCTTTGTCAGACACCTACATGTGAATGATGAAAAAATTTATATGAAACATCATTTTGTTCCGGCTCTCTCGTGATATGACATTTAGAATGTTTGCAAAATTATAAAAAGTACTGAAAGCTTTTAATTTTATCAGTCTATCATTCTATAACATATATTGCAAAAAACGTAGCAGTTTGCAGCCGTGCGTTAAAAGTATAGTACATTTGCACTTTCTGGGAAAAAAATTTCTATGGGTAGCTGAGTTTACGTTTTATGCATTATAATCTTATAAATTTTATTCATAGGTTTGAGATTCAGCCAAAAGATGCTGGATGATATAAGGTTCCGAAGCCAAAACAAATGGGAACGGCTGCCTTAAGCAAAACGTTTAAATTACTAATAAAAAAATTATTCCACACTCAGTAATTCTTAATAATTAATAAAACTTGCGTTAATTAAGTAAGAAAAAATAATATCTACAACTTTTTTGGAAACAAAGTATAGTAAAGAAACTTTTACTTTTTACTGGAAAATCTTTAGCCGGAAGTAGTAAGAAGTAGTATTTAATATTTGATCCTTGGTTTACTAAATTAGATTTTAAATATTATAACCTCCACGACACGGATGTTGCATATAAAAAATATTACAATTTTTCTTTGTGTCGAAATAATTATTGAAGTGATATTGTAGACAATAACTTAATTCCCTTTCCAATATAATTATAATACAATAAATTAACCAGGTGGTGATCTGTATGTATGTTTAATCTATTTAAATGTAATGGTAATTAAAATTATATCAAATCAAATTTTCTAAAACAGGAATCAAGCATAAAAGCAGGGATGCTAAGTGCTCCGCTTTCTGCAAAAAATAAATTGGCAGAAAAGGTATAAAACTTGTAGAATAAGGATAATACACTCTTTAAAAGTGTCACCACAACACGAGGATGAAAGCGAGACGGAAAAGAGAAAACACTGGTAGTAAAACCATTTCAGTATTAACTAGTTATAAGGAGGAGCAAATAATTTCTCTTATTTTAATTATTCATCAATATCTAGGTTTTCTTGAGAAAAAAAGCAGTTCTATATAATTGCTATAATTCTAAAAAATATGCTGGAATGAAGTGTCTTTCCTACCAGTTTCAGCCTCCACACGGACTTTTATAAGTAATCTGCGCAGACTATTTATAAAGTGAACCTACATACCAGCCAAATTTTACGCATTTGGCATAAAATTTTATTTTTATATTTAAAGTGGTAGTAAATATATACTATTTTTTTCACTGGGAAGAATCACAATGGAAGGGATTAAAAGTTGGCAGGTATGGAACCAGCGGTGCGCATGAAACCAAATTCTATTTTAAAAGTTTAGAGAAAAAGTTATCATATATATTTGAGAATTGAATCCTTGGTGGTAAACAAGTCAAACCAACTGTCTTCATAAATTTTAAAAAAAATTAGACGTATATTTGCTATCACTTTCTCATTTTTATTAGATTTTTTATTAAATGGCTCTTTCTTAAACTAATTTACATTCATAGTGGTCTGATCGGACTACCTTTAAAATACCGTGCATTGGCTTTCAGTTATAGGAAGCTTCGTTTCAGCCCTGCCACAAGATAACTGCAATAAAGTTGCATTTCAAATGATACTTTGCATTTCCGAATTTGTAGTGGTGGAAAAAGTACTTAAAATGAAAAATACTGAACTAAAAATAACTTAACTTTCGTTACCACTAGAAATTATTTTTTACAAATACTTTTTTCTAAAACCATATTCGAATCATTTTCTTGGAATAATCTACCATAGTCGATCAAATGTCTACACCATATACTCTCTTAAGTATCAAAATTAGTGATGTGCGAAAAACGAACGAATCGATATTTCAATCAACTCTTTTTTGTGAATCGATTCATCAAGTTCGTTTTTGAAAAAGAATCGATTCTTTTTTTTTTTTTTGACAATATTTTGCACTCTACACTTTATAAGCTTATTCAGAGTTAGTACTTATACTTACTAAACATCCGCATATGCATTTGATACAGCATTTCGTTTATACAATTGGAGCTTGATAAAATCCTATCTCAGTCGAATAGACACAGGTCCATTCTCACTCGAGTATCATGCGAATGACAATCTGATTGGTTGAAAATATTTACATGCGAACAACTAGCCAATAAGGTACTCGTATGTGTGAGAGTTTTCGCAAGCGGAAAAATCGCATCCGATGAGAATGACCCCGATGTCAACGTTAGCGCACAACCGGTTTCCGGAGGTGATTAATAAAATGAACTCACTTGAAGGATGAAGGGAATTGAAAATGCTATTAATGCAAT